AAATTTTTCAATGATCAGTTGCAAAGGGGATTCAAACATCGTTACAGTTGTGCTCAATAAAAGGTATGTTGTTTACTTGTTTGCTTATGTTTTATAAACTTCGTTGATGCCATATTTATATTATTTGATTAGTTTGACATGGAAATGAAATGCATAAGAGGAAATTTTGTCATTTATTTCATAATTTTTAATATTATTATTATTTATTACGTCATCCGATTCGACCCCGGTTCGACCCCGGTTCAACCGGTCGAACCGGTCAAACCATGAACCTCTCCTTCTTCCGGTCCGTTGTCCGGTCCGATTTTCAAAACCTTGCTTCTTATTGTCAAATTATTTCAGGTAAACATTTCATGAAGGCCAGATTCCAAAAACCGCTTCAAAGTCAGTAGTAAATGGCTTAGCATATTGGATCAGGGGAGTTTCATTTTGAAATATTTGTCGTAGCAGTTAGGGCGCACAGTTTATAGGTTTTGGGCTTGCCAAATCTTTTTCTTTTTTTTTTTTGGGCGGTCGGCGGTCGCCAGTGGAGTTGGCAATGACAGTGAGTTTTCGATGTAATTGATGAATTTCTTTTACTTTAAAATTTTATTGTGCATTCCTTTTACTTCAAACTAAACATCAATATTTTCAAAATCTCAGGATCTGTTTTTTTTTTTTTTTGGAACGGGATATCCATCCGCTGCCACCCCCGAAAGGGCGCTCGGCAGCTTAACTAATCCCCAGCTAACCTAGAAGAGGCACCCACCCCAGAAATCTCATGGCCCGCATTTGATTGGGCCCCACTTAAAAGGCGCTGCCGCTCCAGGGGAATCGAGCACAGGTTGGGGGTTCCCAACCGTACTCGCCCACCAACCAAGCCAAGCAACGGTGGGCATTTGAAATATTTTACACCCCTTTTGCAGTAAATAAAACAGCCCCTTGATGAATTTCAAACTCACCATATAAGCCATTTATGTTGTATTTAAATGATCAAGTTTGGAATACATCGCAAGTCACCACAGTTGTTGCCATTGGCAGCATCATCAACCTCTGTTGCCAGACTTTATGTTGCATTTAGAACATCCAAAAAAAAGCATTTGAAGACAAATTAATAAACTTAAATATAATAATAATCTATTAAATGTGATCATCTCTATAATAAATCGCTTGATTTTTCATTCAACAAAAGTTTCATACTATTATTGTTTGAACAAATTTGTTTGTGAGTGACACAATTATATATTATGATCATCCCTATAATAAATCTAATAATATTTCATTCAACAAAAGTTTCATATTAGCACTGTTTGATTTAAATTTGACTGGGAGTGACACTCAACACTACTAGCAAGTTTGACTAGATAGAGCAAGAGATTAAATAGGTATGAAAAGCTGATAACAAGTCAAATAATCTCTACGAATGATAAAAATAGACTCTCTCTCATCCAAAATATGCATCTTAACTCTCTTATTTATAGAGTTAAAACAGCTATAGGAAAAACTATACATAGAAAAATATAGATAATACATTATTTAACAAGTACAAGTAAATACAAACATTGAATCCCAAAATGTACACACGGACACACACATGTCCGTCTATCTTTGACGAGGCTCCGGATGTCTCTAGCAAGTACCTGGATGGGTGGCAAATGCTCTAACCAAGTCCTCAAAAGTGAGTGCCCTAGACGAGTTTTCAAGATAAATATACTGGACTGACGAGTCCACAAAGGCATATACCACAAGCAAGTGGCGAGTCCCTTCGGGCAAGCCAAAAGTCTTTTAGGTGAGTGTTCTATATGAGTGGATTGAGTGTTTGTGAGCAGAAGAACATGGTTGATGAAGCTATGAGTGTGGGCTATGTAGGTATGTGCCATCCATCATTCAATTCATAGTTTGAATAGGATGAAGGAAATACTAATATTTCTACTCATCTTTTATATCTTGTGTGTGTGATAATCATCTTCCAGAAATTTAAATTTTAATATTTGTACATACTTATTATAAATACTATTTTGGAATACAAGTTATCACCTTCCAACTACTCTTGTTGTAGTGGCTGATTTTAGATGCCACTAAGGTTTTGTTTGGGATGGCTTTCTTACTACTTTTTAAAGTAATTTTCTAGTACAAAAAGTTGCTTTAAGAAGCAATAAGAAAGCCACCTCAAACGAATCCTAAATCATCCAAAATATAGAAATGAATGAGAACGTGCAAAAATGAAAAGGTCTTACCAATATCAGTAACAATATACTTTGTTTAAGCTTCATAGAAATCAACCCATAAAAGTACCACCAACAAGTATAGTTATCTGAGGACAAAAGTTACATGATCATTCCGCAGACAATGAAATGACACTCAGAATGAAGAAATATCAAATCTATTTCTTATAAAATAAATGATGAAAAAAATTTTGTTACAAGAAAATAGTAAGACAAGCCCAACAAGATTTATGTTAATTTTGCTATTCAAATGTGAGATGCTAAAGCTGAGAGCACAAATAAAAAGGTAAATGGTAAACACAGATTTCTTATTCGAAGCTATAAAAAATTACCATTCCTTATTATAAAAAGGATTCAACACTTCCCACCTTTATTTTTACAAGCATCTATAATCCTTCCAGGCAACAGGAAGATGAAAAACCACCCAGGAATGAAAATAAAAGCTGAATATGAAATAGTTTGATGCTGAAAATAAACATCCATGGTAAGGAAAATATACAAGACCATAATTTTGAAGAAGAATTTCTAACCTGAAATAGCAGCAACTGCTATAAATGTGTTAAGCTGAAGTAAGTTTTGAGGATGCCATGGGAAATAATGAACACAAGAAAGAAGCAATTAACAAGCATGGAGAGCAGCACATGCAGATGTTGTAGTGAAACTTTTTTGCTCTTAATATAATGAGCATGCAAGGATGCCAATATAAGGTCCATGGCAAGAAAAAATAGGCTTTTCCTAACCATTTGAGCAATGTTGTATAAATCTTTATTATTCATCCATTCTCAAGGTCTGTATAGGATCACTGTAATTTTTTTATAAATGTAGTTATAAAGATATTGTGTAGAAAACAAGCTTTTAAAAGCTCATATAAAAAGCAACTTTTCAATAAAAAAAAAACTTCTAGAAAGTAGTGAGAAAGCAATAGTTAAATGAAACTATAGTTTCAGTGTAAAAAGCAAAACAAGAGAAAGCTGCAAACCCTTAGGCTTCGTTTGGGACGGCTTTCTTATTGCTTCTTAAATCAACTTTTTAGTATAAAAATTTAAATTTTTATACTAAAAAGCTGTTTTAAGAAGCAGTAAGATAGCCGTCCCAAATGAAGTCTTAGTGAGCTTGTCAAATCTATTTTATGAAATCTCTTTGCATAATTTTTTACTTAATCTATTTGCCGAATTATTGACATTAATTTTATCATTTGTCTCATTAATTTTTTTTATCATGCATGTCCTATAATCACCTAAGTCCATTCTTTGATATTTTATCTTAAAAAAAATAATACTACTGTTCATCTTCTAATTTAAATTGTCTATTTTTTCCTCTACTTCATCTTGAAAAGATGCTTCTATCACTATATGTACAACAAATTAAAAGAATATATTTTCATTTGACTACAAGAGAAGTCATTCTATTTCCAAGGCAAAAATCCATATTAATTACATTTTGCGAAAAGAAAAAGAAAATTAAGGGATATTCGTTTCGTTACAGTTATGTTCATGCAAGCAATGTTTCTGAGTTTGTTTTAGGCCAAAGACAAAATTTTAGGCCACATCATATTTCACTTCAGCAAATTCATCTAATTTGTTGCATTTTATTTCCAAAGAATATCAAAAGAGAATAATATGTAGCATGAACAGATATTAATTTGAAAGATATGGCGGCAATTTTTGCTTTGGCCAATTGTGAGGAAGATTAGGGCGGCAGAAGTTTGCAGCAGAAACGCCATTGCAGAAAGAATAGGCTAATACGAAGGAGGCAGGTGCTCTTACCAGGTCCGTGTACCTTATCTCGTTCTGTTCAGCCAGCCGAAATGCTTGGGCGAAGATGGCGGAGAGGATGCCGGAGGCCGTTGCAGAAAATTAGAAGAAATGAATGCCAAATCAAAAAAATTTCTTCCATTGAGAAGCCTAAACAGTCACGGAATAATCGATCCACAGCCGATTATTCAGAAAACTGAATATTAATTCAAATCTTCGCTCCACTCCCCAAAGCCGCCTATAAATAAACGGCATCCTCAACAGATTGCCAAAACCCTTTACACAATCTATTGCCTTCACAGAAGAAGAAGAAGAAGAAAACCTTCAAACCCTAACACATTCCTCTCCTCATGGGTAAGAAGAAAAAAGCCTCTGCCGCAGCTGCCGCCGGAACTTCCCTAAGTAAAGAAATCCACGACCTGAAAACCCTCAATTCAAAACTCGTGAAGGAAGTGACAGAGCTCCGGAAACAGATTGAACATCTCGCCGACCGTGACATCACTGATAGCATCGAGCGCGACGTCTTCAGCCTGGCCCTTTCTTCTACCCTTCGCGAAGCCGAGGCACGTAGTAAGGCCCAGATAGCGGAAGCTGCATACAAGACCGAGTCGGCTACCGCCGAACTAAATGCCATGGAAATGCGGCTGCTTTCTCTACTTAGAGAGCACGATGAGCTTGAAAGAGAGCTTGAACTCATTATTGAGGGAAGCGGATACTCCGAGAAAGCCGAGTCTGAGAAAACAAGGAAGAAAAATTGGATTTTTTATCCTATTGCTGTTACTGCCATTTTCTTCCTTTCCACGGCTGTATTGAGGTTCTACCAGTCCTCCAAGCTTAAGAAGCTTAAGAAGTAATTATAAAATTTAGGTTTTATTTGAGACTATTTTTGTACTATTTCTTAATATAATTTTGATACTAAAATTTTTGTTTTAAAAGTTATTTTAAGAAGTAGTAAGAAGCTAAGAATTATTTTAAGAAGCAGTAAAAAAATAGTCTCAAATAAAACTTTAATTTTATTTATTTGATGTATTGTTATCATTTAGTAGTTTTAATATGTACTCTTTATTATATTATTAATTAAGAGAGTTATGTTTTTTTTTTACTTTTTATCTCTTATTTATTATATTTTGATAGAAGATATATTTCATCATTTTAATTTAAATTTAAGGGAATAAAAACATTTTCAATTGTGAAAGTAATTTTTTTAAAAAATAATAATGAAATAAAAACTATGATTACAATCTAAGCCTAAATTGAGACCCAACTAAGTAAATTAGGAATTATATATACATCCAAAATTAATTTATTTGATGATCTTATAAATCAGTAAAAGTAATTAATATATCATAAAAATAAACAACTAAACAGTTGATTTGTAATTAATTTTGATAATATTGATGAAGTTTAATAATATGATTGCAAAATTTAGTCCCTAAAAAGGTGAAAAATCAAATGTAATTATTGTAAATATTATATTTTGAATGTTTTCCTATAATTTTGAAAATCTATGAAAAATATTGGTTGAGTTTAAAATATAATTTTTATTTAACAGCTAATTTATTTGTTCATAATAAGTCTAGGTTTTGGCTACATCACCCAATTGGGGTGCAACCCTGGCTAACCCTAATTTGCTAGATCCGGCCAAGTCTACTTGTTAATATACCAATTATTAAAGCTATTAGTGATCTGATCTCAAGCCAATCTGACGTCGCCTTTAGGCCGTGACAAGTTCAAAACGAGCCAAGTTGACAATAAATTAAGGCTTCATTTGGGACAGCTTTATTATTGTTCTAAAATTTTGTTACTAGAAAAAAAATTTAAGAAACAGTAAGAAAATTATTCCAAACGAAGCCTAAGTTGATATAATCTTGATTTGAGCCAAATTTGATTCATTAACTTCAATTTGAATGTCAAATTAAGCAAACAAAAATGATTGTATCTCAATTGACTCAAATCTAAATATTATTAACATTCATATTTGTAGACATATACATTTTGAAATGATATGTTAACTCCAGGGGTGTCAATTCGGGTCAACCCGTCGGGTTCGGGTCTAACCCGACCCGACACGGATCTAAACGGGTCAACCGGAACCCGACCCGTTTGCAAAAACGGGTCCGGCATTTCAACCCGGACCCGACCCGGCCGGGTTGCCGGAACCGGTCGAATTTGTGAACCCGAACCCGACCCGTTTATCAAACGGGTCGGGTCCAACCCGGATTTTCCGGGTCGGATTTTTGGGTCGTGTCAAATATTGACACCCCTAGTTAACTCAATTGGAGCCAAAAAATCAATCTTTTATAAGTCATAATGTTCTCAAATAATTATATAACATGACATTATTATGTATTATGGATTTAGTTTAGTGTTCAATATTTTTAAATTCTAAAAGATTATGAATATATAAGCATCATGGATTATCTCCAATAATTAAAATTTTAAAATTTGCTCAATGATTATTTAAAATGTTGTTGATTTGAAATCAAACTCAATATGTTCCAACTGAAAAATACTCCCTCAAATTAAGTTTAATTCAACTCATTATTAACTTTAAATATAATACATCTACATTTTTGAGGATGTGCTTTTGTGCAGAAAAGTTTTTCAAATAATTAATCTATATTTTCAAACAACACAAGCTTCAATGTTAAAAAAATATGGGGACAAATAATATGTCCTTAGAAGGTCACTCAAACATAAGTTTTGAGGCAATATTTGAAATAAAAACATTCAAAATTATATTCAAAACCATTTGAACTTTGATTTCAGCAAATTTGTAGTTAAATTGAATGTTTAAAACTCGGTGATATCAACGGTGATCTGATTTGAGTCTAAATGAACCAAAATTCACTTGAAGCATATATGAAAATTTTATGATATTAATTGAGCGACCAAATGATCTAAAAATATATAGTACTTATAATCAAATCTAGTAGTTCGGTAAGATAAATTTGGCGAATCCAAGAACATTTAATTATGAGATAATAAAGATACTTAGATGCTGAAAAATAATTTATAATTATGCGGATCAATATGAGTCATTGGTGGAGTGTTTTGGACTGTCAAAATTACTAAAATGGACATTTAAAAAAAATCAATAAATATGACTCTATTTTCTATGGGAGAGAGGTTGGAGAAATAAGAGAGCAAAAACTTCTATTGCATTCACTAACAATTGCCATCACGAACAATTTGGCTTGTTGCGTCCTAGAACATTCACGATTGACTTCCATCATTTGACTTGTTGTGAATGTTCTATGAATATGACAACCATCAGCAATCATCATCATCGTTTGACTTCCATCATTTGACTTGTTGCGTCCTAGAATATTCACAGCAGTAGAGATATATAGAGTTTAGTGTTCTAGCTTTGTACGAATATCTATCACACAAAAAGATGAGGGAGGGGGTGCAATATTTATAAGATACACCAAAGTTTTTTTTTATTTGGAAATCCCTTAAAGGGGGGAAAATCACGGGCTCTTCCTAATTGAAAAATGATACCACTAGTATTTATTATTGATTGCAATTTACAAATGAGGCCCTTCCTTGGGGGAAATAAATTGGCTTGATGTAGCAAGCATGCATTATATAAGGCACATTACATGGTGGAAGTTGGAAGAATCTAGTATTATGAGAGTTATTCTCAAGAGAATGTTAGTCTATTCGTTTGGTTGGTTGAACCGTAATCAAGCGACGATAATCAGAGGGATCGTAGTAGTCGAACGTTGTAATAAGAGGGATCGTAGCTGGCTGGCAATAATAGTTAGAGGGATCGTAGTTAGCAGGTGAGGGTGGTCGGAGGGACCTTAGTGAACTGGTAAGGATGGTCAGAGGGACCATAGTCAGGGGGACCAATATTAGGCGAGCGACAATGGTCAAGGAAAGGACCATAATTGACTAGACCGTAGTTGGTGGTCAGCGATGGTTAATAAGTAGACCATAGTTTGCGGACGATTGTGGTCGGAGGGACCATAGTCACTAGGTGACGTTGGTCGGAGTGATCGACGGTGTCTAATGAGGGGATAGTAGTATGTAGGCAATGGTGGTCAGAGGGATCATAGCCGACAGGTAACGGTGGTCAAAGGAATCGTAGTGGGCGGGTGACGATGGTCGGAGTGAATCATAGTTGGCGGCAACGATGGTCATAGGGAATGTAGTTAATGGGAGACATTAATCATAGTGGATTGTAGTCAACGGTCAACATAGATTAGAGGGATCGTAATGGGAGGGCGATGAAGGTCAGAGGGCATGTAGTTGGTAGGCAACAAAGGTTGGATAGATAGTTGTCGATAAGAGACATAGATCAGAGTGGTGTGTCGATAGTAGCCCATCACAAGTTCAATGGCAGTTGGCAACCTAGTGGAGGTCTGACCTTGATTTGTGGATAGGTAGTGGTCTAACAATGGTCAGGCAGAAGTGCAAAGATCGATGACCATATAGTGGTTTGGGCGGTGGTTAACAACCTAACAGTGGTTCGGTTGGTTGACAAATATTCGCCAGTGGTGGTGCTTGAGTGGAGCTCTAAGATCCTTGAAGCCTCAAAGCCATTTACAATCTCCATATTATGTAGAGAATAAGGTCTATTTATATGTTTTTGGGTGTGAAATACCCTGTAATATATAGAGAATATCAAAGGCAAATTCGAAGTGCTCCATCGGACGACCTATGTTGATTCCCTCGCATTTTGTGGGCTCGTTGGATTTTGTCTCGTTAAGCAGTCGATTCAACTATAAAGAATGCTATATTTGGATATCATTTGGTCATCCAATTAATGTTTCGAACATTTCACATGTGTGGTTCAATCCCTTGTTTTGGAGACATTTGAGTTCATATTAGATCATTTTTGATATCGTTAAGTTCGTCTCCTTGAGATGTTCAATTTGACTATAAATTTGTTGAAATCATAGTTCGAATGGTCTCAAATTTAAGTTCGTCAGTTTTTAATTTTGATATGCCTTGAGATTCATGCCCAATCAAGATAATTTTTGGTGATATATTATGACTATTATTGTCTGATTATTAACACCCTACATCATTATTGAACTTCAATTATTCACACACAAATGACAAAAAAATAAATAATCTTTCACAATTATATAATTTAATCTTCTACTAGATAAGGAAATATTTTTGTATTTATAATTATATAATAAATTATTACAACCATAAACCTTTAGTGTTTTTTTTTTTGAGTTTCTCATATAAAAAAATATTATATCTCTAATGAATTTTATCTTTGCATGTGAAATTTTTATATAAAGTTAATATATCAATAACTCAATCGGTATAAAATTTCTAGACTATTATATAATTATTAATATTACATTATTGAGACTTAATAAAATTTTAATCGATAATTAGAATTATTTTATTATGTAATATTGTAATATATTATTTAATAATTAATTTATCATATTCCACTTATTATTATTATTTTATTTATACTATAAAAAAAATCAGCCATTAAATTGCATGGAGCCAAGAAGTCTACTGCAAATTTTCCTATTTTTACGGGAATTGTTATCAGGTCCAGACACCTGACGTAGCTCTACATCCAGACGCTAATAGCATGTCGCCATGTGCCCTCACTCTTTACCGTGCTGCCCGACAATCCGAACCGGACCGGAACCCGGTATTGTTATGTTCATGTATTGCTAGGTATTGCTCTGTATTGCTAGGTATTCCTAGGTATTGCTCGGTATTGCTTGACAATAACGAGAAATACTGTTAAGTCAAGACCAATACCGAGCAATACCTAGCAAAATCGGGGCTTTGTTCGGTATTGTTATGTATTGATCTTCTTTGACAGAATGGTATTATCGTTACCGAACAATACTGAGCAATACCTAACAATAACTTGATCAATATAAATCAGCTAATACATTGCAATATGGGTTCCGATCCGGAACAAATTGTCCGGTCGCACATTAAAAAGTAAATGGCGATATTTTATTTTATAGACGCTGGATGTAGTGACCCGAACTAATAAAAATTCTTTTTACGGACGCTTGAATTCCTACGGCCGCTCGGCGGTGGGAGAGATTCTCAAGATTCGAAGAGTCATGTCCTGCTCTCCTTCTTCCCTCAGTCTCCATTTCTTTTCCTCTTCTTCTTCTCTCCTCTCTGCTTCGAGCTTCGCCGCTGCTACCTTCCACTCCAAAGACTCATTTTTTCCACCAAAACAACCCAAATTCCCTTCCAAGAAAATCTTCATCTCCGCGTCCTTAAACCGAGACAATGTTCGGACGATCAGGACCGTTGAAATCGCTAATTCCATTACTGACCGCGGAGGCAGCCCTCCTGGAGAACCCCCCACTGGAGTTGACGGCGGTGGCGGTGGAGGGGAGGAAGATGACGACAACAAGGAGGAGGAGGAGGAGTTTGGCCCGGTTATGAAATTCGAGGATGTGATCCGCGAAGCCGAGGCTCGAGGGGCGACCCTCCCTTCCGATATGCTTGACGCTGCCAAGTCCATTGGCATCCGAAGGCTTCTTCTTGTTCGATACCTAGACTTGCAGGTAAAATATCTTTCCTTTTGCGCCCTCCTGAAAATGCGATGCTTATTAGAAGCCCTTTATCGATTTCCTTTGTTTTGGGCTTCAAGGCCTCGCCTTGGCCGCTGGGCGTTGCGATGAGGTCATGCTCTCTACTCCGCAACCGAATGCTAGCTGACCCGTCTTTTCTCTTCAAAGTCGGCACAGAGGTAAACCTTATTGCTTTTGGTTTAGCAATTCTATATTTTGAATTGTAGTATTGTATTGAAGATTAGGCTATTGGTCAATATAGGTAGTTATAGACGCTTGCTGCGGGACCTTTGCAGAGATTCAAAAGAGAGGGGAAGATTTCTGGCCGGAGTTTGAGTTGTATGCTGCCGATCTTTTAGTGGGCGTGGTGGTGGATATTGCATTGGTGGGTCTTTTGGCGCCTTATGTGAGATTTGGAAAGCCAGCTTCATCAGCTGGGATTTTTGGTGGCATTTCACGTGCTTGTGATAATCTGCCCAGCAGGTCTGTTGCAGATTTGTTTTTTCTTTCAGCATTAACATGAAAATAATAGATTAAGCATAACTTACTACTTGATTTTATATTTTTAATTATTAATCTGATTGTCAGTAGAAATATGACAATTGTTAAGCTCTTTTTGATTGTCTTAATGTAATGTAGTTTGAATATGTAAACAACTGAATTAGCATGTCATCATTATCGAACCTCAAGTTCATTTGAATTTCGTTTTCTTTCTTTAATTTTGTTCTCCTATTGCTCTCACTAGAGAGAAATTATTCTGTGCGGACGCCGAACGCAGTTTATTGTCCGGAGACTAACTGGAATGCGCCACATCAGCAATACCGAGCTGGGTATCGAGCAGCACCAAGCAGGGGGCGACGTGGCGCATTCTGATTGGTCTTTGGACGGCGTTCGGCGCCCGTACATAATAATTTCACCTCACTAGAATCACCCTTGCATAAGATAAGTTCAAGTTTTTATTTGGAAGGTAAGTTGGTGACTGTCAGCTACTTCAGTTTGTAAAAAATTTGGGAAGTTGTTGCCAATGTTCTGGATTGAATGTTGACTACATCAAATTAAAAAAAAAAAAAAAATCGTCTTTAAATTGAGCCCATGCGTTGGAACCAAAGAGTTCACTTAAGTTCCATGTTATGTATTTCTTTGGCTCTATAAAAATGAACTTTTTCTAGGCAAGCTGTTTAAGGTTATATTAACGTCCTAGTTTATTCTCGTCATCATGCTATAGTGCCTCGTTTAGAAGGAACTACAATAATATATTTTTTCCACAGTGTCTTTGAAGCTGAAAGACCTGGGAGCAGATTTTCAATCAAGCAGCGAATTGGAACATACTTTTACAAGGCAACTTAATATTATCTCTTGCAACTACATATAAACATTGCAAATTATATTATCTTGTCTCGACAGTTTTCAACATGTCTAAGAAGCTCTTATTTTATTTTGTTTCCAACATCTCTAATTGACAGGGAGTTCTATATGGGTCGGTCGGTTTTGTCTGTGGAATTATTGGCCAAGGCATTGCTAATTTGTTCATGACTGCCAAAAGGTGAAGTCTTTATTTTTAAAATTTTTGTCCTATCATAGTCTGATCTATCTCTTCATTGCTTTTGATGCTCAAATTGTTGCATGATAAATTATTTAAAAGTTCATAATGTTTAATAGGACATGTTGAGGAATTCCAACTCTATTTCACTCTTAAAGTCATTGTGAATTCCAATTCGCAATTTGCAACTTTTTTTTAATCTGAAGCATTATTATTCTCTCTAGGTTTGTACTCAATATGCTTTTTTAGTTTATGTTAAATGCATATACACCTTTTTAAGATGTTCTGTTTCACATTCAATTTAGTTAGTTTTATGACAACAAGTATCAACATTAAGTTTGCATCTTATTGCATCAATTGAGGAGATACTTGCAAAAATATTCAAAGTATTACCTAATACCTATATGTGATATTCTTAAGTATTTTAGGCCTATCACGGAAAAGATGTGGATATAGATGAGTATATAACATCTAGAGTTGTAGTTGTGTGGTTAAAAATGGAGAAGTGTCTCAAAAGTATTGAATGATATGTGAATATTATAAATCATAGGTTTCACATTTCATAAAGCAGGTTTAGAATTTTTTTTTATGAAGATGTTTTTTGAAGCAATTTCAAAATTTATTTATAGAAATAGCTTTTACAAGGGAACTTTTTTGAAAAGCAGCATTAAAATTTTCGTCCAAATAAGTTGCTACTTTGCATTAATTTTCTATTTCTTCAAAGTAGGCAAAAAGCTGAAACAAATGAGCTTCTAAGGGTAAATTTCATGAAAGTACAATGAGGCTGGATATGTTGTATGAATCTTGATGTTGTAGGTGAAGAGATTGGTGATAAACAAGTTGATGTGGTAGAAGTGTTGTAAAGATGGATTTGTAACAAAATTAGAAGTGATTGATTGAAAATACTAAAACAAGGGATAGTAGAAGTGAAATTTATTATGGATGAGTTAGTGGAAAATAGACTTGATTTGGGCAAGTATAACAAAGATTAAAAAATGTTCTAATATGGCGTGTATAGAAATTTTATGTTGAAGGCTTATGAAGAAAAAAGGGGCAGATCTACTGGAAAAATGGATAGAAATTATGAACAAGATTTGCATTAGAAAAGTTTTAACATCTCATATGACCAAGTAGGTCGAAATAAGAGTAAGCATTCATAAAATTGAACCCAAATAGTTAGGGGAATTATTTTTTTTTTCTAAGTAGGTCCTAGCTAGACTACACAACAATCAACCTAAATGAAAGTAAAATGAGGATTCATCATAAAGTTGTCAATAAATAGCTTGGGTAAGACTAAAGATAATAATGATGATGATTTGTTAAGGATGGAGAATTATTGTTTTGATGAAGTTTTAAAAGGTCAAGACATAAGATGAGGTGTTTACTTGTCACGGCTTAGGGCATAGACCCTGGCACAGGTTGTAAGCCCCATGAGTTATATATTTTACATATTTCACAAATAAATGAATATGATTAAAAATATAATTCTAAAAAAAAATTGAAATATAATTTAAAATGTAAAGTTCATAATTATTTCATTTATATTCTAACTCCAAAATCTAATATCACAATCATGAAATATTAATTGGGAATTTAAAAATCATGTGTTTGATTGAGTGGGTTAAACAAAAGTATAATATACCAATATCCTTCCAATAAAACCTAACAATCATGTCTTATAATCTACAGAAATTGGATACTTTTTTGCATTATGGATTCAACCCTTGCAACAAACTTGAGAGGTTCATTTAGAGGCATCAACAAAGAGTCAAGACCATTGTCTTCTTCAATGTAAGAGAAAACACAAAGGCACCGACAAGTGTGCTTGCCACCAAGATGAGATGCATGGGTTTGACAAGTAAGTGGAGATGAATCAAACCTCGCTAGTTAGCTCGGGAGTGAAGTCAATAAAGGAGATTAACTAAGCCAGTGTGTCAATGAGCGAGCATAAGTTTGTGTGTGAAAAGGAATGATCGAGCAAGTCAGAGATGTAGAAACAGTGAAGAAAAGAGAGCTATTTGAGTTAGCTTAATTTTATTTATTATTATTATTATTATTTTTCATACCGACTTTAGAAATAACTTCGAGATATTTGCTTATAAGATTAATAGAAAAAATGAGCGGGTAACAGTTAAGGATTTTCTTATCATTTAATTTAAGTACACTTAAATTGTAACATTAGATTATCACCTAGCTTTTGGTGCATGACAAAAGTGTGCCTCAGAGACTTAGAGTGATGCTTTGGCCTGCACCCAAATTTGGCTTGCCCATCGCTGGGTCGAGCCTCAGAAATCTCCTTAAACTCTATTTGTAACAAATAAAGTTGGTTTGAAGCTGAAAGACCTGGGAGCAGATTTTCAATCAAGCAACGAATTGGAACATACTTTTACAAGGTAACTTAATATTATCTCTTGCAAGTACATATAAACATTGCAAAGTATGTTATCTTATCTCGACAGTTTTCAACATGTCTAAGAAGCTCTTATTTTATTTTGTTTCCAACATCTCCAATTGACAGGGAGTTCTATATGGGTCGGTCGGTTTTGTCTGTGGAATTATTGGCCAAGGCATTGCTAATTTGTTCATGACTGCCAAAAGGTGAAGTCTTTATTGTTAAAATTTTTGTGCTTTCATAGTCTGATCTATCTCTTCATTGCTTTTGATGCTCAAATTGTTGCATGATAAATTATTTCAAAGTTCATAATGTTTAATAGGACATGTTGAGGAATTCCAACTCTATTTCACTCTTGAAGTCATTGTGAATTCCAAGTCGCATTTTGCAACTTTTTGTTAATCTGAAGCATTATTATTCTCTCTAGGTTTGTACTCAATATGCTTTTTTAGTTTATGTTAAATGCATATACACCTTTTTAAGATGTTCTGTTTCACATTCAATTTAGTTAGTTTTATGACAACAAGTATCAACATTAAGTTTGCATCTTATTGCATCAATTGTGGAGATACTTGCAAAAATATTCGAAGTATTACCTAATACCTATATGTGATATGTTTAAGTATTTTAGGCCTATCACGGAAAAGATGTGGATAAGATGAGTATATAACATCTAGAGTTGTAGTTGTGTGGTTAAAAAAGGAGAAGTGTCTCAGATGTATTGAATGATATGTGAATATTATAGAACATAGGTTTCACATTTCATAAAGCAGGTTTAGAATTTATTTTTATGAAGATGTTTTTTGAATCAATTTCAAAATTGATTTCTAAAAATAGGTTTTGCAAGGCAACTTTTTTTGAAAAGCAGCATAAAAATTTTCGTCCAAATAAGTTGCTACTTTGCATTAATTTTCTATTTCTACAAAGTAGGCAAAAAGCTGAATCAAATGAGCTTCTGAGGGTAAATTTTATGAAACTACAATTAGGCTGGATATGTTGTATGAATCTTGATTTTGTAGGTGAAGAAGTTGGTGATAAACAAGTTGATGTGGTAGAAATAAAGTTGTAAAGATGGATGTGTAACAAAATTAGAAGTGATTAATTGAAAATACTAATACAAGGGATTGTAGAAGTGACATTTATCATGGATGAGTTAGTGGAAAATATACTTGGTTTGGACAAGTATAACAAAGATTAAAAAATGTACTAATAAGGTGTGTACATAAGATTTATGTTGAAGGCTTTTGAAGAAAAAAAAGGGGTAAATCTACTGAAAAATGGATAGAAATTATAAACAATATTTGCATTAAAAAAGTTTTGAAATCTCACATGACTAAGTAGGTCGAAAGGAGAGTAAGCATTCATAAAATTGAACCCAAATAGTTAGGGAAATTATATTTTTCCTAAATAGGTCCTAGATCACACTCAACAATCAACCTAAATGAAAGGAAAACGAGGATTCATCATATAGTTGTCAATAAATAGCTAGGGTAAGACTAAATATAATAGTGATGATGATTTATTAAGGATGGGAAATCATTGTTTTGACGAAGTTTTAAAAGGTCAAGACATAAGATGAGGTGTTTCCTTGTCACGCGTAGGGCATAAGACCCTAGGCATAGGTTGTAAGCCCCATGAGTTTTATATTTTAAATATTTCATAAATAAAAGAATATGATTAAAAATATAATACTAAAAAAATTTGAAATATAATTTAAAATGTAAAGTCCATACTTATTTCATTTATATTCTAACTCCAAAATCTAATATCACAATCATGGAAAATTATTTGGGAATTTAATAGTCATTTGTTTGATTGAGAGGTTTAAACAAAAGTATAATATACCAATATCCTTACAATAAAACCTAACAATCATGTCTTCTAATCTACAAAGATTGGATACTTTTGCGCATTATGGATTTAACCCTTGCAACAAACTGAGAGATTCATTTAGAGGCATCAACAAAGAGTCAAGACCATTGTCTTCTTCAATGGAAGAGAAAACACAAAGGCACCGACGAGTGTGCTTGCCACCAAGATGAGATGCATAGGTTTGACGAGTAAGTGGAAATGAATCAAACCGTACTAGTTAGCTCGGTAGTGAAGTTAATAAAGTAGATTAACTAAGTGAGTGTGTCAATGAGTGAGCATAAGTTATTGTGTGAAAAACAATGATTGAGCAAGTCAGAGATGTAAAAACAGTGAAGAAGTAAATGGAGAGCTATTTGAGTTAGCTTAATTTGTTTTATTATTATTTCTTTTCATACTGGCTTTGGAAATAACTTTGAGATTTTTGCTTATAAGATTAATAGAAAAAATGAGCGGTTAACATTTAAGGATTTATAATCATTTAATTTAAGTACACTTAAATTGTAGCATTTGATTATCACCTAGCTTTTGGTGCGTGCCAAAAGTTTGCCTCAGGGACTCAGAGTGATGCTTTGGCCTGCACCCACATACTATAGTCTAATGCCTCCTTTAGTTGTTATGGGGCAAATTTGGCTTTCCCTTCCTTGGGTCAAACCCCAAAAATCTCCTTAAACACTATTTGTAACAAACAAATTTGTGTTTGGGATATTGATACATATATCTTGTTGTTTTCTTGTAGAGTTGGAGTCAAAACTAATAGAATGAGGTAAAATGGTCTAAAAGCTACAAGATTACAAAATTAATGTTATACCTCGGCTTGTAAAATCTTTCATATTGATTATATATCATGCATTATTAATTCATTTTTGTTTATATAGGCCTTAGATATAACTTCGAGACATTTTCTAAGTAGATTAAAAGAAAGAAATTGGATCAGACAATTGCTAAGAGTTTTCTAATCATTTAATTTAAGTTCACCTAAATTATAATATTAAACGTTCATCTAGTTTATGGTGTATGTAAAAAACTGCCTCAAGCGCTCAGGGTGATGCTTTGGCTGCACCCCGCAGGCCAATGCCTCTAATTGTTCTATGACTCGGCATAGGGCGAGCCCCAAAAAAATTTTAATCCCTTCATTCCATGCGACTCATGCTGTCTTTATGTAGTTAGATTAGAAGAAGTTTATGGAAGTATATAAGGTTCTTTATTTTATTCTAGTTTTTTTTTTTTTTCGCTTTTCGAAACTTCATATTAACAGTTATTTATTATTATACATTTTTTTTCACGCATCTCTTGAACTATGTTTTAGCCCCTACATTTGATGCAACTCTTAGTGCTGATAGCCTGATAGAAACTTGTGCTTTCACTAGATTTATTAACACATACAATCTGCCATTGGGATTGTTCAGTCCCAGTGTACTTCAGTTATATCATAATGTGTAATTCAAAATGAGAGGATCATTAAAGGAACTTTTGTTATTTAGAGAATGTAGCAGTCAATTGTTTTAGTTAAAGAAAACTGAGTGTTCTGTTTTGATGATACGTAGAAGCATTATGCTTTTTTAACATCTCAAAATTCTTACATTTTGTGTTATATTCTATTCTAAAACTTAATGCTTTTCAAAGCTACTTTGATATTGATGCATTATTGCCTTATTTTTATAGGATTTCCCCCGGTTCACGCATCGTATTCTGTATGGTGACGCGTATTGATTATTCTTTTCTGTGCTGTTTGTAGGAGCGTAAATAAATCAGAAGTCGATATACCAGTTCCACCACTTATTAAGAGTGCTGCTCTTTGGGGTATCTTCTAAATCCATGTGCTATGCATTTTTTTTTCTTAAGTAGTTATTTTCTTTATTATGAAAATATAATTAATAAGCTCTTGTTTTGTGCAGCTATATTATGCTTTCACACTCAACTTTTTGGAAAGTTCAAAATTAGATTTAAAGTTTTACTTTTAAGGCTTAGTTTGGGACGGCTTTCCTACTGCTTCTTAAAACAGCTTTTTAATACAAATTTTTTAATTTTTGTATTAGAAAGTTGCTATAAGAAGCAGTAAGAAAGCTGTCACAAATGAAGCTTAAGTCTATATTGGGTTATTACAGCACTTACTTGATGAGTAAATGTATTTACATCATAATTATGGTCTTCCCTTATTATTTATATATTTTAATCATCCACTTTCCAAGTTGTTTTTTTCCTATTTTTTATGTAGTTGTATTTAAGGAGAATAACAACAAATCTTGCCTTTTAGGGTTTATGATATTTGCGCAGTGGCCATCATGGATGACTTTGAATATCTAATATATTTCATTTATTTATATAGTTTAATTATCCACCGTCCAAATTGTTGCATTTTATTTTTCTATTTTCTTATTTTATTGTATCGAAGGAGAAGAACAACAAACCTCGCCTTTTAGGGTTTAGGGTAATCACCGCGCAACAACAATCATCGATGAATTTTGAGAATTTCTTTTCTGTAATGTTAAAATCTACGCCATCTTTAAGACTTTAAGCCTTATGGATCTGTTATAATATCATATGATTGGTATGAGATGTGCGTACTAAGCGTGATAGATTTAAATATTTTGGTGCTAATATAAAAAAAGAATGAGGATATAGATGATACTACAACATCTAGAGTTTAGGCTAGATGGTTCAAATGGAGAAACACTACAGTTTAGGCTAGATACTTCAATATAAATTCTATCAAACAACAATTGGGCCAGCATAGTTGTATCAATCTGAAACTTGGAAAGTAAATTTTTTTTTTTATATATTTAAGTTTAACGTGATATAAATAAGAATGGTAAAATGGATGCCTAACAAAGCTAAAAAAGATAAATTAAGTAATGATAATTTAGAGGGACAAGTGATATGTATAAAAGATAAGCTAATTAAATATAGACATTTGATTTGTACACACACAAAGAAGGATAGAAAATGCATCCGTTAGACGAGCAACTAAAATTTTTGTTAGAAGATTAAGAAGGGGTAGACCCAAAATTTCATGGATATAAGTTTTCCAAAGTAATTTGTTAATAATATGTTTAACTCATTAAACGATGCTCATTAGGAAGGAATGAAAAATAATAATTTATAAAGTTGACCATGAATTGTTTGGATAAGGTTGATGATAATGATGACAAACTTTTATCTCAATTTGTTTCTTAGCAGACAACGAATCATTAAATTGTAGGTGTACATCAATGCTTCCAAGCTTTTTTTTTTTTCTCGATGTGGAGGTAGACCTAAAAAGACTTTGGTTAGAAATATTAGAAATGACCTTTCTTTTTTAGATTTAGATGAGAATTTGACTCTTAATATGACACAATGGAAAAAAAGATTCATGTAGCCCCCCACATGGTGGGATAAAGGCTTGTTGTTGTTGTTGATGATGTAGATATATTTATTCCCTGTGTTTCATGCTGAATTGTGATAGGAAATACTAGAGTTCGCAAGTAATCCTAAGGGAAATACTTGAGTTCGCAAGCAAACCTATCACTAATTGGTAAAAACAGTGAGGAAATAACCAAATTTTGGGGGAAAACAGCCCCAAAACAGTGGATTCCATAAGGGAATCAAAGCAAACAAACACTAGAGCAAGATACAAGGGATCCTCAATTCGAGAGGAGGATCGTCTCTCCCAAATCTCTAGACAAGGAGTTCTAGAGCCCAAGACGCCAAGAAACTTCAAAGAAAATTCAAATCTTGCATAACCCTAATCCTTTCCCCAAAGCAACTAATTAAAGGCAATGGACAATTACAATTTTCCTAATCAGCCCCCCAATTCAAAAATTTCCTCCAAAGCAAAAATTAATTAATAGGTGGGCCCCTCCCTCTCTCTTTCTTGTTTCCGCCCCACTTGGGCCGCCGGCTATACACCCAAACCGGTCTACTAGGGACCGGTTCAGCGGGCTCAGGAGGAGCCGGCCTAACAAATAGTTTCACTAAATCGTAAAATTATAATTCTAGTTTTTCAATCTAGTCACTTGCGAGTATTTATTCTCTAGAATATTTTCACAAATAGATAACATTTGAGTAGTTTCATGCTTGCTACATGCAACTTCGAGGTGTTTCGAGCTCGCTACGCACAACTTTGAAGAGTTTCAAGGCCGTTACATAATGTTGTGTTCATTGATTGTCGTTCTCATCATGCTTGCTTGAATCTATTTTGGAGCGTATGAGGAGGTCAATAGTAGGAAAGCATTCTTTACATCATACTACTGTATGGAACATTCAATATTGGTTGTAAGAGAAAATAGGATGTTTATTGCATTCATTTTTATAGTAGGAGCAAAAAAAAAATGATGGTTAATTCTATTTGATTGGGTATATCATTGCTTCCAATCTTATTTATACCATTCTAGGCTTTCATTTGCTCTGTATTTTGCATTAAAAAAGTTATTTGCATCAGAATATTTACTTTCTTTTTGGTAGTTCATTGATCTCCCAAGTTTGATTTTTTTTCAGAGCATTCATTTTTTTTCTCATTGCATCTTTTAAATTCTTATTTTCAAGCACCTCAAACAGAGTTTGTGGTAATATAATAGAATTAGAGCTAGAGCTGATATTTGTAAGAAAAGCTTTATAGGTAGGAGAAACATTTTAAAAAGATGTATACAAGGAGATGAGATGAAGAAGAAATTTGTAGTGATGAGTTAATCATTGTTAACCTGATAATAGTACCGAGTGTTGAGCTTGTTGGAGATTTTTGCTAGGTTTGTTCCTACTTATAAAAACTAGAAGAGGTATAGTGTCTGAATTTTTTAGAGTTTATATTATATAAATATCAAAATGAAAGATATATGTTTCATTAAATTTATTTTTCAGTTGAGAGTTCTCACTTTGAAGATGAGTTTGATTGAAAAAAATTGCTTCTCATTAAAGTTGATATCTTTTAATGTAAGAAATTTTTTGATAATAGGATGATAACACTTATTCTTTTTTGTGAGTGGAGGAATACTTAATAAAAACATATTTGAGAGCTCTAGGATTAAGTTTGCCTCTATATTTTTTGTGGATGTGGACATGAGCAATAAACCCAAAAGTTTTTAAGGGATTTTTGAGAGAGAGTTATTTATGGGGAAGAATTTAGCTATATAATTTATAGGACTTTTAAAGCCAATCACTCTTTAGGGTATTCTATTAATTAGATATGCGACATCTTGGGTTGCTTCTCCTCAATATCTTTTTGGCAATTTATTTTGAATAAAAAGAGTCTTAGTGATTTCCAAAAAGTTTTTGATTTATCTTTTCTATCACTCCATCTGCTGTGGAGTGTCAGGATAAGACGATTGGTGGATAATATATTTTTTAGAAGAAATATAATAATGTGTGGTTAAAGTAATGGCTAGCATTATTAGTTCAAAGCATTAAATATTTTTGTTTTATGGCAATAAAAATGGAAAGAATAATGCTTACATTAGAATATTAGATTTTTGTCATTTGAGTGCAATTTTAAATAAAGGTGATAACTATTATAGCTCTAAAAATGTTAGGAATTTTGGATGGCTTCCCGATGTCAAATTGAGAAATTAGAAAATGAATAAAGGATGTAAAATAACTTTAAGGAAAAATAATGCAATAATGATTGGCAATTTTACAAGTCTCAATGTAAAATTTTCATATTTACATCCGAAAAAAGAGAAAAAAACATATATTTTAGGTTCTCTAATTTGCCCAATCATCTTTCTCATACTGAGATCATGACATACATAATGATTGGCAAAAAAAGTTACCTAGCTATTAGTATGGTCTTTAGTGATTTTATGGATTGCAGATGATTTACCGCAAAATGAGGAACATGCAGTACATTACTGATGTTAAGTGTGGAGAAAATTGAAATAATTTTTTTGACCTGCAACAATTGTTAGAGAACCCTCAATCACTTTTATTATTCTATTGTGGGGTAGGGTTTATAGGTTTGAAAAAGATTAGCAAAGCTGGTCATGTGATTAGTAGCTCCTAAATCTTGCATCCAAGTGCTCATAGAAATTAATTAAGGCACAAAAATACACAAAAGTTAGAAGGCATACACCATTTTGAACTAAAGATTATGATCCATAAGATTTTTTCGGAGATGAGAAAATTCTTGAGTTCATTATTATTTTTTGGATTAAGCCCTTCTAATTCAACAAAGCATGTTTAACTTTTTTGGTGACATTCTTTATTTCCACCAAAGCTTGGGGCTTTATGTGGAGTTTCCAACCTTTTCCTTGATTTGTCCTTTATGTTGTAGTAGTTGCACCATGGATTATTTTTGGAAGAATGCTTTTGCCTTTTTCTAAGGAAAGAGTCTGTAGCGATAAGTCTCTTACATTGGGATTTAGTAGTTGTCATGGTCGATGCTTCAGAGATCAAAGTGTCGAACATTATTGTCTTTCTTTCTTATTTGGCTTTTATGAGACAAAAATTTCTCATTTTATGATGGTATATTTTCTTTGCATAAGATTCCGACACAAATTTGGTCAAAGTCATTATTAAGTCTTGTAAGGACTCAAACACCCTTTCTCTTTCTACAAATTATTTGAGAATTACTACATCAATGTAGCATGCCATTTTGAGATCTTTGTAATAATCTAGTTCAGGCCAATAAACCTTCATTGCATTAAAGTACTCAATAATTTGAATGCTATTTTACTTGATTTTTTTGAAATCTTAGTTTTGATTTTATAGATGAGGGTAGCATCCTTCACTTTTAAGTAAAGTTTGTTTGATGACACCTAAGTTTTTTTTTTTTGCGGAAGAGAGGAATATATATGTCTCACTAATTTTAGGCATCATTATATTTGATAACCATACCATAATTATGGAATCAACTTGTCATCCTAAAGTACAAATTTTGTGTCTTTCAACTCTGAAGGAGGATCCATAAGAAGACAAATAGATCCTTGTCTTTCCTTTCAGAAAGATCTTCATAATTTGAGATCATTTCAGATAATTTCTCTCATTCAGGGCGTCAGGAAATCTGAGACTAGTAGCCTTGGAGTGAGGCGCATGCGAATAACCTTACATGCGCACTTTTTGCTATTTAGTTATGGCTTATCCAGTGGGGGATAGCCCCCAGTGCCCCCACTATCAATCTACCCATGCAAATTACTAACAAACATTAAGCACCACTGGACTTATTATACCCGTAATGTTATGTGTAGAACTCCTAATTCTTGGGTCGTTTGTTGCATTTGCTTGATTTGCGCCAAATGAAAATTAGGCTCAATTTTGTATTTTCATTTGAATAATGCTGTGATAAGAAATAATGCTGTTTAATTTGGGCATGGAAACTACAAATTGAATTTAATGTAGTATTTTTCTATTATAACTACCCTACTGGATCAACTATTTTCTCTCAAAATGTAGGTGTTTTCCTGGCGGTTTCTTCAAACACACGATACCAGATCGTTAATGGTCTGGAACAGGTTGTGGAGGCATCTCCTGTAGCCAGACGTGTTCCTCTAATTGCAATGGCTTTCACCGTTGGTGTGCGTTTTGCCAATAATATCTATGGGGGAATGCAGTTTGTGGATTGGGCTCGATGGAGTGGTGTCCAATGAAGGATTAATTATTTTGTGCGGACACCGGGCGGCGTTCGAAGATGAAGGAGAGCGCACCACATCACTTTTTTGCTGTGTAACGGTATTATGTATCACTGTATACCGGGTGACGTGGTGCACTCTCATTCGTCTCCAAACGGTCCCGTGTCTGCACTGAATAATTTCTCCCAACGAAGAGGTACATTTAAAACTTTTTTATTTTTCGTTGCTTTTATGTTCATACTTTAGGGGTTGTGTGATGTTTTTCATATCCTTGATATAACTTTTTAGTTCCCTTTATAACCATGAACATAATTTGCTTCTAAGCTTCATGGTTATCGTATTTTAATAATTACTGTATTGTGAGTTTTTTGACCTCGTTGTTGGTTTTTCATAAACTTTTATGCAGCTCCTATAAAATGTGTCTTATCAGTTTAGCCATCTTTTTAGTTCCCCTTTTCTCATTTTATTCAGACACTGCATACATTTGTTTCTTTTGCCATAGCATATTGCCGCCGTTAGAAGTGTTGGATTGCAATCAAAAACATTTTTTAAAAAATTTATTAGAAATGGCACAATGAGCATGTTGTGTAGATGATTTGGCGCTCTTAGTATCTAGAGACGAGACCAGGCAAATGAAACTTAGACATGCTCTTAGGAGGTTTCTTAGTTGTTAGCTACACTAGTTATCCCTTGTGATGGTGACCATAAAAGAGTGGAAGTAGAAGATGTTTAATGTTGTGTTCTGTCGGCGTACCACTGGACACATTTTTCATGTCTTCCAGTCTTTATTTCTATGTGTTTGTGTCAAGGGTAGGGGTGCAAACGAGTCGAGTTGAGCTCGAGTCAGGGGGTGTTCGAGTCAAGCTCAACTATCGAATACTGAGCTCGAGCTCGAACTCGACTCGACAGGGAAAAAGCGAGCTCGTCAAGCTGCTCATCTAGCGGGAGATCGAGCCGTTTTTGCCAGCATCCGTCGACTTCGCCAGCGTCGTCGTCCGTCGTCGTAAGCATCCGTCTGCTGCCTTCGCCGTCAATCGTTGTCTTCGCCTCCGCCCAAACCCAGTCTTGATTTCAATTCCTGAGTACTCAAATCCATTTTACCGCCAGACGTTTTATTATTATATAAAGTGTCTATAAGACTAATTATATTTTTTTTAACCAAAAATCAATGAAGTGGTCAAACTCTTGATGAAAGAGCCAATTAAAATGCACAGCTAATTTTCTTTTTCAAAGCAAGGAGAAATAGTCTGAAGAGTATGTATGCCACTAATGATCTCATGATTAAGAGCTGATATATGAGCCACAAAGTAAAGACCATAACTACTCTTGCCTATATAAAAGATTTTATGGACTCTTTCCTTGGAAACTTGTATGTCACCTCTCTCTTTTGCCCTCTTTTTTCTCCTTTCTCTCACAGCTCACTTATATCCTTTTTCCCTCTCTCCAAGTCCATGCAAGCAAAAGATCAATGAATAGGTATTGGGGTTGAATCGGTCCTATGCAATCATAGCATGTCAGTCTTAAATTTGTTTCTGCAGCTCTCTCCATTTATTATCTGCCATATTCAATCTGTGAATCAGATAATCATTTTTCAATTTACAGTCTATGTTCATAATCAACCCCTTTCAAATTCAGACCAGCCCCTAACATTCATCAGGCACTTATTTTGAGTGTCTGATGTGGGGTAGATATGGAAAAGATCTATAGGAAAATAGAGACTGAGAGAGAAGCGTTGTGCAAACAATCACAGCGGAAACAAAATTACATAACAAACAACGTGGAAATTTACGTCGCGCGTCAATTTTTAGTGTTGGTCGTCCGTTTTAATCTATCTCGTCCGATTTGATTGTGAGGGGTTCATCCTTAGGCGAATTCGACGTCCTGATTCTAATGATGCAGTCTGTTTGACAATCGGAGGTCGTTTGACTTTTCAAGTGACCCGTCAAGCGTCAATTTCACCTTGTTTGTGTGTTTTTGCCCATATGGGTCAACAACATTCTAGTGCGAGAATAGTGCAAAAGAGAAGAGAGACATTGAGAGAGTAAGAGCGAAGGGAGATATGTACAAATTTATCTCATTTTCACAGTGGTTTTCTTGGTGTGTTTGGATGTGTTTTTTTTTTTCCGATTTCGGGCTTTTTCACGTTAAATCCTTGTGTTCTTTCTTTTCCGCTACTTTTACCTTTCTTATTTATTTGTCTGCCGTGTTTTGCTTCCACCCCCAACAATCTTTACTTAACGCATGACATTTTCTTTCATTGTACCGAATTCTCCATTTTTTTTCCTTTCATCTGTTCTGCAAGTTGCTTGAAAATCAATTTTTCTTCAACAAAACCTCACGACTGATTCAGTATCTCCAATTGTGTTCTTGCAGGCGGTCTTGTTCTTTTATAATTATTATCCAGACAAGATTTACAACTAAGCACTCCAAAGGCATTGCAGGGGGTTATTACACTGTAGCTCTTTATATATATATATTCAAGTTTATTTTCATAATTAATTTTTTTTTATGAAAATTTAAATTATGAATATGATTTTTTTTTTTAATGAGCTTTCATTTTTCTGAAGTTTTAGTGAGGAGTATCAGCTGTTTTAATTTTGTTTTTCGATTATTGCAATATATTTAGCTTAAACATTCTTTCATAAATTATTGAAATAATCAATCTAAACTATTTGAATTTTTTTTTTTTTGAGAGGACCAAATTGGTCAATTAATTTTTTTCTCAAAATATGTTCAATTATATAAAGTATCAGACTTTATTTGAAATGGCTTTTTAATTGTTTTTTAAAGTAATTTTTTAATACAAAATTTTTAATTTTGTATTAAAAAATTGCTTTAAGAATCAGGAACAAAGTCATCCCAAATGAAGCCTCAATTTAGGCTTCGTTTGGGACAGCTTTTTTATTGCTTCTGAAAATAGAGTTTTAGTACAAAAATTAAAAAAATTGTATTATAACTCCGTTTTAAAAAGTAATAAAAAAGCCATCTCAAATGAAGCTTTAATCACTTGGCTTTTTAAATAGAGATAATATTAAATTTTTTTATGGAACCATTCAAGTACATATTTTTAAAAAAATTAAGAAATGAAAATGTGATTTTTTAAATATTCAGAGATAATTTTTATCTTTTATAAAAATCTAAAAATAAAATAACTAATTTTGAATCGGTTTTGTTCAAAATAATCAAAATCCGGATCAGTTTATATTAATTGGTTAAATGAAAAGAACTGATTGGACGTGTTGATAAGAACAACATATTCCCTTTGAAAAAAAAAATGTATTATTAATATTTTGATTTTCATTTAAATAATATTAATTTATTTTTTATTTTCAAAATAAATTTAATTAAAAATTTGAAGCTTATCATAGAAATAAATAAATAATTTCTGTTTGTGAATTTACTAATTTTAATTTGCCTGATTAATTATAATGCTGCCAAATGTAACTTTATTTGATTAATGACATTCATTGAAAAAAAAAAAACAAAAACCAAAAAACAAAAAAGGGAAAATGGGAATCCTCAATGCTTACATATAGCTTTGAGGAACTTGTCATAATTTTTATATAAGAAATCAAATACATCAACATAATCTTAAAATAATAATAATAATATTATTATTATTATGCTCTTTTCATAATCTAATCTCATTAGAGATAGAGAGAGAGACAGTCCAAAAATACATAGAGTAGCATTTACAATATAATATATTTTTTTGAGATACTCACAATCATATAAAATTATTAATTATTAGGGCTATTGACTCGATCACATAATATTTTTTATAGAACTACAAAACAAAGAGAAAATAATAATAATAATAAAATAATTAAGTTATAGCCACAACTGCGAAACATGAAAGCATAAGCAGTGCAGTTTATGCAGGAAGAAGATGGAGGTATTGCCGATCCTGTGGCTATGCTGAAGCTCTGTAAGTAGTTTTTCATCCTGGTCTCACCTCAATTCCTATTTCTTCTTTGCCTATTCTTCTGATTGATCAGCTCCTCAAATCCCTTTCCTTTGCTCGTAGATTTTTCTATATCAGAAACATTTTTATTCCCACTATTCCAATCAAAATTTATGATGGAATTTAGGCTTCATTTGAAACTGCTTTCTTACTTCTTCTTAAAGCAACTTTATAGTGTAAAAATATTAATTTTATATTATAAATCTGCTTTAAGAAACAGTAAGAAAGCCATCCCAAACAAAGCCTTCGTATTTTCTGAAGCAGTTTTTTAATTTTTTTAGTACAAAAATTTTTAGAACTAGAAATTTTTCTACTAGAAAGTTATTTTATAGAGCATTAAGAAAGCTCTCCCAAATGAAGCATTTGTAGGAATGCAAGTGAATTAAATAGACTCGTGAGCCAAGCTCGAGCTTTACTTTAAGAACATTTAAATTTACTTATTTGTTTCAGAATTGAATTAAGATTTAGATAAGCAAGAAGAACTGATTTTCCAATTGATTTCATATAGTATAAATTTCAGTAATTACTGTAGTTTAAGTTGAGATTAGTGCCATAATTAAACACTGCTAATAAAAGATAAGATAAAGCTTGGACTGCAACTGAAATGGATAAAATGGATAAGTTTTTTTGCATGCCACCTCATTCTTAGCCTATTATTAGAAGCTTTTATGTTTATTTTCAACGTTCAATAACTATATAAAAGCTTCAGTTGCAGGCATCGATCTCTGGTACATATACAGCTTGAGAGGTAAAGAAGAAGAAGAAGAAGAAGAAGAAGAAGTGATCAATTAATGGCTAAGTCTTTGATTTTGGTGGCCTTTGTCTGCTCTTTTCTCTGTGATTACTCAGTCTTAAGCACGCAAGTTTCTCATGACGGTAGAGCGATCACCATTGATGGCCAACGCAGAGTTCTATTTTCTGGCTCCATTCACTATCCCCGAAGCACTCCCGAGGTATATATAAGGATTAAATTTCATAATTTTAATTGAGCGATCAAGTTGGGTGACTATAACTTTGCGGGATCAAGTCATTAATAAGAGTACATATTTTTAATTTATCGGATCTATTGTTCAAATTGATGATAAAATAGATGATATGGAGGAATGCATTGGGCTTGTTGCGTGATATAGAAATACCTCTCATACTTGGAAAAATTATTCTGTAAGGACGTCAAACACCGTCTGGAGACCAATCAGAATGCTTCATGTCACCTCTTTTTTGGTACCGCGGCTCGGTACTGCTGACGTGGCACTGTATTCGCCTCCGGACGTAAAGCTATGTCCGGCCTCCACATAAAATAATTTATCTCAAATATGAAGGAAAATTCTGTAACATGGTGGCGAGACTTATAATGCTTTATGGTGCAGAATGTTGGCCATTAAAAATGAACCCTAAATTTAAATAAAGTGTTAAAGAGACGAGGATGCTCAGTGGATGAGTGATTTCACTCTTAGAGACAGAATGTGAAATGAATATAGACGTGATCAAAATGTTGGAGTTGCTCTAGTGGCAGATAAGATTAGAGATATTCGCCTTAGATGTTTTAGTCGCATAAACGTCGGTCTTCCAATGACCTGATTAGGAGAGTGGGTGTAGAAATAGACTAAAAAAAGCTTGATTACAAAATATTATAAATAATATTTTTTAATTAGATTTAAATGAGAATTTGACTCTTGATAAGACACAATTGAGATAAATGATTCATATAGTCAACCCCATATAGTGGGATAAAAGTTTTATGTTGTTTAATATTTTTTTTTTATTTTCTTTTTTATTTCATCATATGCAATATGCAATGGCTATATAGTTTTTTTTTTCTTTTTTTATATCTTTTTGTGGATGTTAGCCTAAATTAAATTATTATGTTATTTTTTATTTAATTATTGAACTTTTTATTTAAATTGACATTTATGAAATGTAAAATTCTATAATTTTTCTCTTTATATTTTAGATGTGGCCTGATTTGATGCAAAAAGCAAAGGAAGGGGGTCTTGATGCGATTGAGACGTATGTTTTTTGGAATGCTCATGAGCCTCAAAGGGGCCAGGTAATTTTGCTAATTTAAATAGTTAAAATAAAGATAAATCTATTTTTAATTTACATAATTTCATTTTATCATTAAATTTTTTTCTTCAAAATATTAAATATTCTAATTAAAATTTGGTGAGAAAGAGTTTTAAATTTATAAATTAACTTTAAGACATGTGCAATATAAGTGTTATTTGATCAATCCTTACAGTAAAATCAGGCTTCTGTAGCACATAATTTATGATCCATTTGTTACAGTTGCAATTTTTTATAAAGGTGATTGTAAATTTATTGTATAAAGCTGTTGTAGAAAGCAAATTTTTTTGAAAGTAACAAAATAACGGCAGTCGACTGAAAATCGAATAGAAACTGTAATTGTTGATTGAAAATCGAAGCAGTAAGAAAGTTTACAACAGTTTTAACTGCCACAAAAAAGACCAACAGTGACTCCAAAAATCGCTGCAAAACTGTCGTAGTCGCTATCGGCTGCAAATGTCTTTCGTATCAATTTCACAACCCTAAAATGCTATATTACACTCATTTCAAAATTAATTTAATCATTTTATGATTCATTTCAATTAAATTTTTATCAAAATATTTTAATATTTTTATCCCCTATTGCAGTATAATTTTGAAGGCAATTTAGATCTCATCAGATTCATCAAAGAGATCCAAAATGCTGGTCTTTATGCTATACTTCGCATTGGCCCTTACGTTTGTGCCGAATGGAACTATGGGTAATTTAAATTACAAAATTGTATTTTTTTTTTTTAAATTCCAATTTTTTAAACAAAATAATTATTAAATTCTTATTATTATTACAGTGGGCTTCCAGCTTGGTTGCGCCAGATTCCAGGATTACAAATGAGGACAAATAACCGGCCTTTTGAGGTAATTTTATAAATATATAATTAATGTGTACTTTATTGTTATTTTTCTTTTATCTTAATAATAATATTTGTAGGATGAAATGCAAAAATTTGTAACACTAATTGTGGACATGATTAAACGAGAAAGCCTCCTGGCACCACAAGGAGGTCCAATTATAATAACTCAGGTATATTTGTAAATAATATATTTTCAATATTGTTTTTGTATGGTTATTAATCTGAAATAAAAATATTTTATATAGATTGAAAATGAATATGGAAATGTTCAAGGACCTTATGGCAATGCTGGCAAGGAATATATCAAATGGTGTGCAAAGTTAGCAGAATCATATCAAATTGGTGTTCCATGGATTATGTGCCAACAGCCAGATGCACCTCAACCAATGGTAAAGACCCAAATTATTATTATTTGGTAAATATTTTTTTACCAAATAATTGTATATTAATTTTTTTTATTTTAAAGTATTTATATTTATTTTAAAATTAATATTCTATAAAATATTAGGTTCAAGGCTTGGGATAAACCAGATCCACACAGACTTGCTGAAGACTTAGCTTTCTCTGTGGCTCGGTTCTTCCAATCAAGTGGAACGCTTCAAAATTATTATATGGTATTTTTAATTTTTTTTCCTTTTTTTAATGAAATATTCAAAATTTATGAAAATATAAATATTTATTTTTATTTCTATAATTAGTATCATGGAGGAACTAATTTTGGGCGTTCAACGGGAGGTCCATATATCACAACAACGTATGATTATGATGCTCCTCTTGATGAATATGGTAAGATTTTTTTTTTCTTGTTTTTAAATAAAAAAAATCTATAAAAAATAATTAATTTTTTTTTATAATATTATTCTGTAATTTCAGGAAATATACGACAGCCGAAGTGGGGGCATTTGAAGAACCTTCATGCTGTTATTAAGAAGATGGAGAAAGCTCTGACTTATGGAAACGCAGAAACAACTGAGCTTGAAAATGGCTTATCAGTATGGTTTCTTTAGTTCTATAATGTTTAATTGTTTCAGTTTAAGATACACCATTTTTCTTTATCTTATTATTTTGTAAAGTTGGTGTAGAGAAAAGATAATTTCGAAGTTGTTATAGAAGCATCTTGCTAATATAAATTTTTTTGGAAAGCAACGAAATAGCAGTGATCAAACAAAAATTCGGATTGAGGTCTGAAGAAGGAGAAATTATTTTGTGCGGACACCGAACGGGAAGAACTATCCGATTTTGTCTCTGTGAACTAGGGGTGTCAATTTCGGGTCACGGGTCTAGCTTTTTATCTGATTTTTCAAAATTGATTTTGAAAAATCTGCTTTTGAGAAAGCATAAGATGAGATCATAGCTCTCAAAACAAAATAGAAAAGTGTTAGTCAGCCTAAATAATTTTATCACTGCAGGTGACAAAATTCTTTGGTATTGGCGTTGTGCCTGGCTGCTTCTTGGCAAACAAGAACAAAACGGACGAAGCCACCTTAGATTTTGAAGGAACTAAGTACTTTTTACCAGCTTGGTCCGTTAGTATTCTTCCTGATTGTAAGCAAGAAGTTTACAATACTGCCAAGGTATGTAAGTTTCTACTTTGTAATATACAAGTATTTAGACTTCGTTTGGGATGGCTTTCTTACTGCTTCTTAAAGCAGCTTTCTAGTATAAAAATTAAAAAAAGTTGTTCCAAATGAAGCCTTAATTAGTCTATTATGAGAAGGAGAGAAAATATTAGATAAATTTATCTTTCTTTTTTCCTTTTAAGGTCAATGCGCAGACCTCTATCATGGTGAAGAAGCCAAATCAGGCTGAAGCAGAACCTACAAGCCTTATCTGGTCATGGAAACCAGAGGATTTAAGCAAAGCTGTTCAAGGATTGGAGCCTGATTTCACTACAAATACACTCAGAGATCAAATATTGGCTTCTGTTGATGCTAGTGACTACTTGTGGTATATAACAAGGTACATAATTGCTCATCTATGTTGCACCGATACACCTATTTATGAAGATGTGCTGTATCGGATACATGTCGGACATGGATACACGTTGGATACGGCACCGATATGTGTCGGAAATGGCAAAGCCGTATCCAATTAAAATACTATTTAATTTCAAAAGAACACGTGTATCCTATACGCGTGTCCGTTGAAAAACGAAAAAAATCCAGAAAAAGCGTCATATTTACTTTTGCGGCTGCTAACGAGGTTTTCTCATTTTCGAACCCGCGAGACGAGTCATTAGGGCTCCTTTGTTTCTACGACCAACGAGAATGCATTCACGATTACGAGCGAGTTTCGTCTTCATCATTTCATCAAAGGAGCAGGAGAGGAGAGGCGGCCGACACCGAACAGGCAAGATAAGGGCGTATGAGAGATGAGGCGAGCCGATGTGCAAGACGAGAGCGTACGCGAGACGAGATTTCGTTTACACAAGGCGTTTGTTTAGGCGAGACGAATGTCCGTTTACGCGAGATGAGGCCAGGCGACCGCAAGCTTCTTTTCCATCGTCGATTACGCGAGACGAGATTTCGTTTACACAAGGCGTTTGTTTAGGCGAGACGAATGTCCGTTTACGCGAGATGAGGCCAGGCGACCGCAAGCTTCTTTTCCATCATCGATTACGCGAGACGAGGCCACACAAGAAGGTTATTGTGGTTTGTATGTCTTCTTAAATGGAAAAAAAAAAGAAGTTTAGTTCTCATATGTTATTTAGTAAACATGCCACCAAATTATGCTTTGATTGTTTTCTTTAATACTTATGTATAATTTATAAATTATAATGCCGTATCCGAGCCATACCCGTATCCTGTATTTTAAGAATTGACGTGTCCTATATCTGTATCATGTCATATCCACAGTGCGATATAGTTGCTCATAAATGATATAATTAAAATGATTATCAATCTTAATTACTTTTAATCAAATTCTTCAAATTATCATATCAATTTCTGCAGTGTGAATGTGTCACAAGATCAACAAATGAGTCTTCAAGTGAGCACAACTGGCCACATTCTCCATGCCTTTGTCAATGGTGATCTCATAGGTATGTACTGAGAAATTATATCAGTTAAAACAGTTCTTGCATCATTAAAACTTCACTAATAAAATTCATATTTTTCTTTCTAAGGTTCTGAGTATGCCCCCAATGGAAAGTTCTCATTTGTGTTCGAGAAGGATGTTATATTGAACCAAGAAACAAACATCATTGCACTACTTAGTGCAACAGTTGGTCTTAAGGTTTACAACTCCCTCCTTCCAATAACATTTATGTTAATTAACACATTGTGAGAGTGAAAACTAAATTTATCTATCTGGTGAATAGAACTATGGCCCTTACTATGAGCTGATGCCTGCTGGAATTGTTGGTGGTCCAGTCAAACTAATTGGAAATTATAATGATACAATTGATTTGTCTTTCAGTACATGGTCCTACAAGGTATGAACCTTAATCTTGTTATTAATGTTTTCGCATTCGAGAAAATGATCAAATTAGTTTTCTAACCTTTTCTAAAGTATCAAAATAATCCTCGGTTATATAAAAATATCAATTTGGTCCCTTGATTTTTCAAATAAAGATCAAATTAGTCTCTATATGAAATCATTTAGGCCTGTATTTAAAAATTCAAGGAATTCAAATGATAGTTTTATATAGTCGAGGATCATTTTTATCCTTCTAATTCAATTTTTTTTATGTAGGTGGGGCTTGATGGGGAGAAGCAGCAAGTGTATCTTGACAACTCTAATTCAACCTGGAACAAAGGTGGCATATTTCCAAGGAAGGTTCCTTTCACTTGGTACAAGGTAAAATCTCAATAAAATTCAGATTAATTACTGTATAAAGTTGTAGAGCCTTATTAATATCCTAAGAGAAAAAACAATGTAGAGACAATAATCAGTTACTTTAGTTTTTTATCATTGTAATGAAAACTGCAACAGAAGAAATAGAAAATAGTTATCAGATGAATCTGTACAAAATTTCTTGATGTTTTTTATGCATTTTACTATATTCTGCTTATTTATTATTGATGATTTGAATTAGTTCATAAACTATTTCCAAAAAGGTAATTCCTGAAATGGTTTTATGTCTGATATGAACGACAGACCACCTTCCAGGCTCCTCTTGGTTCTGATCCTGTGGTGGTGGACTTGCTTGGATTGGGCAAAGGAACTGCATGGGTTAATGGCCAAAGCATTGGCAGATATTGGCCAAGCTATCTTACCTGGTCCGGAGGCTGCAGTCCTTGTGATTACAGAGGCCCCTTCCAATCTAATAGCTGCCAAACTGGTTGCGGCGAACCAGCACAAAGATGGTATGTTACAGTACTCGTGAAATTTTCTAACTTAGGTTTCATTTGAGACGGCTTTCTTACTGCTTCTTAAAGCAGCTTTTTAGTACTAGAAAGCTGTTTTAAGAAGTAACAAGAAAGTCATCACAAACGAAGCCTGACTATGATCATGTATGTGTTCATGAGAACTGAAATTTCTGACACATTGGTGCTAGGTATCATGTTCCTAGGTCATTTTTGAAGGCTGGTGAACCAAACACATTGGTTTTGTTTGAGGAAGCTGGTGGTGATCCTAGTCAGGTGAACTTCCAAACAGTTATAGTGGGGATTGTTTGTGCTAATGTAGTTGAAGGGAATATCTTGACATTGTCATGCCAAGGTCCACAAAAGATCTCTGCTCTTCAAGTTGCCAGTTTTGGAGACCCTCATGGTACTTGTGGCTCCTTCCAAATTGGAACTTGTAATGTTGATAGTGCCTATGGTATTGTTTGGCAGGTATAAATCCTTAAGTATTGGGGAGAAATCGCTATGGACTAATGATTCTAAGGCTTCGTTTGGGACGGTTTTTTTTATGCTTGTTAAAACAGCTTTTTAGTTAAAAAATTAAATTTTTTTACTAGAAAGCTGCTTTAAGAAGCAGCAAAAAAGCCGTACCAAATGAAAACTAGGTATTTTTTTCCCTTAAGTTTTAATTAGTTGTGTTTTGTCTATTGTCATTATAGGCATGTGTTGGACAGTCGACTTGCTCGATTCTTGTTGATGAGAAGACTTTTGGTTCAAGTGAATGCAGCTATTTAAGTAGCAGGAGGCTAGCTGTTCAAGCCACATGTTCGTGAGAGATCTATGAGCTGTATTTTCAAAGTGCAAAGTGCAATGTGGAAAGCAAAGTTTTTTTTTTTTTTTAATTTCAACGTGCAAAGGGCAAAGTGAAAACATGCTTGTATGAACTAAATAATTCATGAGTTATATATAATATATGCATATATTATTTGCAAATATTGATATTTAATTAAATAAATATAAATCACATCAGATAATTTTTTTTTAATTAATAAAATGCTACGTTCAGTGATAAGAAATTCTAACTATTCGAAAGTAAAAAAAAAAATCAAAGATGTAAATAATATAATAATTAATAATATACTCAAATAAGCAAAGTAAATGATATAAATGATGAAGTGATGTAAGAATATACTTAAAAAGCAATAATATACTCAAATATGTAGAGACAATGTGAAGTGAGAGTGAGAGAGTGTGAAGATAAGTTATCAAGTTGCATTTTGGAGAAGATAGTTGTGAATGAGAAGCCACTAACAAGAACAATAAAGGCTATTGAAGTGTGAAGAGAAGAACCACCAAAAAGAGACTAGCTCCCGCGAGAGAGAACAAAGAACCAACGTTTTGAAAACCGGACCGAACAACGGACCGGAAGAAGGAGGTTCAAGGTTCGACCGGTTGAACCGGGGTCGAACCAGATGACGTAATAAATAATAATATTATTAAAAATTATAAAATGAATGAAAAAATTTCCTCTAATACATTCACTATACATTTCATATTCATATCAAACTAATCAAATAATATAAATATTGCATCAATTAAGTTTATAACTAATATTCAAGGACATAAATGATAAAAATATGTGGTGGTAAATAATTCCCCTCACAAGACACAGATTTAGCAAATCCATTACCTAAGTTGTATTGAGTTAATAGTAATTTACCTGGCTTGGATTTTTGCTACCTATTTCTTTCTGGTGGATTTCTAAGGGAATTATGCTCAAATATAACATTATACATTCCATTTTGCTTTGAAGAAATTCATAAATTATGCTAAAATTAGGGAAAGGATCCTAGGTAAGATCACTACAACAATCACATATTCACCATTATCAGAATCGGATCCATACCAATAACACTGGTTCTAGTTCTAGACAGATTTTTTTTCCTCAAACGAGGGGTTGACAAATGCAATTGAACTTCTATCCTCATTTATAACACTATGTACCTCTGTTGTTTTCTAATAGCTGAACAATAGCATGATTAAAATTAAATTACTTAGCAACACTCGACAGTTAACAAGAGCAGCCGTTCTCAAATAAAATATTTAATAAATTACAAGAGCAGCCGTCTCAAATAAAATTAAAAACAGGTTGAACGCATAAAATTAGAGAGGAACTATTCTTGAAGCCTTAGAAATTTCCTTACTTACGATGATTCAAGCACCGACGAGCTGCAGCGAGGAAGGAAGAGCTGAAGCGACGGTTAAGCTTAACTTGAGGAGCTGCAACGACGGGGAAGATTAATTTGGCTGGACAGTTCGCCAATGATCAAAGCACGGACGAGCTGCAGCGAGGAAGGAAGCGGATCGGAGGAGGCGCGGCTTCGGGAGTTACGGGAGGTAGAAAAATGAAAAGTCGATTAGGTTTTGATGTTTTACATGTTTCCTAATATTCACAACTTCACCGCAATACCGCATGATTTTAATCAAACGGATGAAAATCGCGGTTGAGATTAACTGGGCGGTTCACGCCCGATTATACAGGACGTCAACATTACCGAGCTGTGATACCAAGTGCATAATGACATGACACATTCTGGTGTATCTCCAGACAGCATTTGGCGCCCGCACTGAATAATTTTTCCAAAGAGTGTGAGATGCACACTTTGTTGTAATCTTGTGCCTCACAACCATTAATATTTTTTTTTTCCTTTAAAAAACAAAATTTTTAAAAGCTAAAAGCCTTAAAACATAAACCTCATTGTTGGGAGCAAAAGGCCTCAACCAACCAGGCTAAGGCAAATGACATTTCCATTTCTCTTTCATTTCCTAACTATCAATTCCTTCAAACCAAACAAAGGTTTTTAAGTCAACCGTAAGGTCATATAAAATTTTACTAATTAACAATAATATGATTAAGACACATCAATTTGCATTGAAATAAGACTAAAAGTAGTACAGGCTAGTGAATAACTCCAAGAGCAAATGCAAGTAAAATTAAGACTTTGTTTAGGACGGTTTTCGTATTTCTTTCTAAAGAGATTTTTTAGTACAAAAATTTTTTAAACTAAAAATTTTTGCATATGAAAATTGCTTATAAAAACAGTGAAAAAACCGGCACAAACGAAGCCTAAGTGTACATCTAAAAATCATCATCACGATATAGATGCCACTTTTGGTATCTCTTGTGGCCAGGAAGAACGGGCCTCAATCGACGTGCTTGGGTGCAATCAGAGCAGCAGCAACCCTTGAACTCCTCGACACAGCTACCACAAGACCTGCAAGATATCACAACTATTTAGCTTTGAAAGAGTAAGGACTAAGGGTTCGTTTGGGACAGCTTTTTTTACTGCTTCTTAAATTAATTTTCTAGTATAAAAATTCAAGCTTTTGTACTAGAAAGTTGCTTTATGAAGTAGTAAGAAAGCCGTCCCAAACGAAGCCTGAGGTTTCGTTTGGGACGGCTTTTTTACAGCTTCATAAAACAGTTTTTTAGTACAAAAATTTTAAATTTTTGTACAAAAAAATAGTTTTAAGAAGCAGTAAGAAAGCCGTCCCAAACGAAGCCTAAATGTGAACAAACTGTTTGATGAATTATTAGGCATTGATATCATACAGAAAGAGTCGGTTACAGTCCAGATTTGCACAGTTTCTGTGCCTGAATTCCAGTACTTGGGATCTGCATATGTAACATTTGGCAAATCTCTCGCTTTCTGATACTATTTTAGATCTTACATTTGTAGTTAAGTTTGAATTGTAGGTAGAAGGTGGCAATGACAGGCGAGAATCGAAGACAAAGAGATTTCCTACCCATCCAGCAGATCCTTCGCTCTTCAAATAGTGAGAAACGCCTCCACTTAACGTATATAAGTTCTGGAAGCCCCTTTGTCTGCCATTAAAAAAGTTTACAAAACAAAGATAAAGTTCTTTGAAAAAACAAAAAGTGTTTTCATGTATGTTTCACCTGAGAACTGTAGAATATACATCGCAACGAATGCCACCAGTGCAGTACATCAGAATGTCCGTATTCTCTTTATCTACTCCAGCCAACAAATCAAATGTGGCGGTCTACACATCAGAAAAATAAATGCCATTGCTGCCAGTCCCACAGAACAACATTAACAGTGGCTTATAAGTTATATAAAAGAATAACATGATAGTTTCAACTGCTAACAATGTCATGATTCAGGAACATTCAAAGAATTAGTGTGCACTGTGCAACTACGCCAATGGAGTAAAAATCCAGGAAGCAGAGAAACCTGGATGAGAAAGATGCACATACAAGTACATGTGGACCTTTCTACAGGAACAGCTCACAATGCCTAAGAGGAATATGATGAGCTATAATACAAGGTTATTATGTCCCTGAATTGCAGAAAGACTTCGTTATTATTACAAAGCAGCATTAGCACAATAGATTTGTTATATATATTTGGATAAAAGTCTCGGTTTTTTTTTTTTTTTTAAATCAAAACAGATTTTATTCCAAGATAAAAAGGACATATAACCAAAAGGCAAGCACAGTCAAAAAAGAAAAATTACAAAGCTTAAGGAAAGCCACATTAACCCACAAAAAGCAAAATAAGCTGAGAAAGATAAAAAATCCAAAGTGCCGGACTCAGAATCACCACTCGGCTGTCAGGCTAGGACCATTCATTGGAGGAAATAAGCATCCGAGAGAAAACCCAAATACGGAGTCCACCCTTGAATACAATTCGTAGGAGGATCATACAACTTGGTTAATGCAATTACTTGGGATTTACCAAAAGAAAAAAAAATGAAGATCAAATTTAAAAAGAACTGTGGATTTTGAAAAACAAAAAATTAAGAAAGAAAACCATCACCATAAGAATCATCTTCAACCTTACCTTGGATGGTTTGGTTGCTTCCTTTAGAATGCTTGCACACTATATCATTCCAAATTAAATGTGATTAAATTGACTGCATTTATTTTGTGAAGAATTTGCTAATAAAATGAACTATGAAGTGAAGTTTACTGCATAAACTTCAAACCATACTAAAAACAATAACCTTGCAGGAAACAATATGTCTATATCAAGTTTTGCTCAAACCAAACATCCCCGTACAAAATTATTCATTACCACTGAATCCGCTCTAAGAGTTGCATGTCTTGTTACCTCTAGTTGTAAACCTCTTTGCTCAACTCCTTGGATATAAAGAAAAGAGAGTAATCATACAAGGAACTTGAAGAACGCATTTTATGAAAACTGGATTTTCAATCTGGGAAGGATGGTCAACTTCATGTTTTAGCGCATTGTTGTCATCAATGATTAGACACAACTTGATTTTTTTACAATGATGCAAAAAAGAGGAGAGTGCCACATAAAATTACACTAAGAAAAACTCATCTTTCATCCTACAATAAAAATAATGTCAGTGTTTCTTTGATGTTTCATCAATCCTGCCATAATGACACTATAATAATACCTCTTCACCTGCAAGCCCAACAGAAGTGTGTCTGAAACTGTCCACCTCTGGCCGTTCAGCACCTTGAAAATGGCCAACATCCCATTCATAACCTGTCTTTGGAAAAAAGGAACACGATCACGAGGAATATATGGCCTAACAATTGAGAAAATTGAAGACTAAATTGGTATGCTGTGTAAAAATGCATGGAAGCACCCCAGCAATAGCTGCTCATGGATGACAGAGAATGAACACAAAAAATCTGAGAAGTTTTGAAGCTAGAGATGATATGTGGTTTATAGCAATTTATTATTAAGATGAAAAAATAGTACTTCAGAAAAAGATTCTAAAAATCGATAGGATGCTACTTGACAGTGACTAACTTAGGAGTGAAAGAGGCCAACTCAACATGCAGCTATGAAATAGAGGGGGAAACTCAGCATTGGGCAACATAGTATTGAATTGTCATTTCTTTGTGGGCAATTAATTATGCTCCACAACTTAACATAAAATATATAGACAAGCAGATCTATAAAAAGATAAGATGTACGTTCTCTGTTTCTCATACAAATCAAAATATTGGCATTCAAAGTTTATGAAAAGCAACACATTGCCATGCAAAGCCTTAATAGCTTCTAATATTATATTTGTTAGAATATTCATGATAGTTGAGTGGAAGAGTTTATAGTCTTGGCATTACATAAAATCTAACATACGCAATTATAAACAACCAACAATACACGAGGCATTGACTTTTTTACAAAGATAACCCAAACTAAAAATCATAGGACTAAATCCCATAGAAAACAATCCCATTTAATCAGTTAAAGGTTTCAATGATTGACCTTTATTCGCTGTTGAAGAAGGGTCTCCTGTGTGATTGTGGTGAATGCTAGAGGGTGGTGGTGTAGACAAGTATACTGATGGGCAGTGTCAGACAGTAGAGCTATCCGCCAATGGGCACTGATCTTAAAGAATGAGTGACAACAGAAATCGGCATTGGGCAAAAGTAGATTTGTGATGACAATCAATTGATGTTGGCAACAAGTGCTAATATTGAAATTTAGGTGCTAGAAGGCGATCAACATGGTTGTCCACCTAGCCATCAGGATGGCTAGGCGACTAGAAGAGGTGGAGAAGTGTGGACAAGCAAAGTTTAAAAGAAAGACAGTTGGGTTTCCGAGCATAGGACAGAGCTTTAAAATTTTCTAAATATGAGAATTCTCTCCACAAAAGGGCCTCCTCAACTGTAATATCTTTTTGATATCTTAGGGTAATAATGAAAACAGAATCGAGTGACTTGAACTTGTTGGATTTGTTTCATCAAATCACTCATTTTTATTGTAAAGTGCCCAATTTAGAGATTGTTCAATGCCTCAAAAGGACTTAAGAAATTTTTAATTATGCTTTTAATTGTTTGATTTAGGTCCAATAGGACTCAAAACTAGGCTTTGGTAATATTGGGTTCTTGTCGAACCACATTTTTTCGATTACAAGTTTTCTAAAAACATATTTCAAATAATTTTAGTCAATTATTAACTTTTTTGGCCTAATAATCAAATGCTTTGAGGTCCAAAAAAATCATCAAAATCTGCGCTTAATCAAATGAATTTTCTAGTAGTGTATCTAGATTAATGGGTATTTATAATTGGTGTGACTAGTTTAGAATGTTTCGACTCTTGTTTATCTTGTTGATATAGCAAGAATCTGTACATTTATTTCTAATTGTGCAGTTTGATATTGAATCTCAGGTTCACCAATTTGGAGGCTCTGCAATAACCTGTTGAGCAAAGTTTTCAATTCTTTTTTTTCTAGTTCCTTCCCTGCACAATAGGTTTTATTTTCCTTAGCGCACCCTCCCTCCCTCTCTCACATGCTAAGGTAGAATCAGTCGACACGAGGTTTATTTCTAATGTACAATTAATTTCTAATTTTTCATAAGGGTTCACTGGATAAATTTAATTGGAACATTCCATGTATATAATCCAGCATCTCAAACCTGCAGGAATATATTTAGAGTAGTTTATTTAGAGTATTTTATAACATAAACAATGCTCACAGATTTCTTCCCATCCCCTCCCCTCCCCTGAAAACAAGAAGATCCACACACTTTGGCAATTGAGAAGCCCTTTAGGCATGACAAACTGTTAGACCGGTCCAGTGGACCGGTCTAGCCGGTCCAGGCGGGACTCTTCGTTTTTTCTCAGATTTCTCGTGTAAAACTCTTGTTTTTCTCTGTTTTTGGGCTGTTTCCTGCTGTGGACAGCAATAAATCTGCTGCAGTTTACTGATTTTGGCTAGGAACACTTGTGAATCCAAGTGTTTCCTATCACAAACCTAATTAATTAAAGTTTAGAGCCAAAGAATCCAGAATCATGTCTGATTTGTGTCTCAGTGGAACCTTGGTTCTTCAACGCCGCTCTACTTTCCCCTGAAGAAGCCATTTAGGTGAAATGTCATGGTCAGGGGCCGGCTCAAGTGTACAAGAGGAGGAACATGTCCGGCTCCTTTGGAGCTTGCCACCCACAATAGTGGGCCCCACTTGGAGCCAATTTTGGAGAGAGAATTGAGCGGCTAGGGTGAGAGGGAATTTTTGAATTAGAGAAGTATTGTATTAATAGTATGACTTGTTTAGGGTTAGGGTTATATATGTTTTGAGTTTCTCTTAGAGTTCCGTGGCGTCTTGGCTCTAGATTCCTTTGTCTAGAGATTGGAAGAGAACGATCCTCCTCTCGAATTGAGGATAACTTGTATCTTGCTTTTGTGTTCATTTGGCTTTAATTTCCTTGTTGTGATACAACATTTGGTGGCTGATTTTTGTCCAGATTTTGTGTTATTCTCGCTGTTTTCGCCAAGTAGTGATAGGTTTGCTTGCGAACTCAAATATTTCCCTTAGGGTTACTTGCGAACTCAAGTATTTCCAATCAATTTCATCGCGTCCATGATTCAGATAATATATAAACATTAAACATTCTCTGGATGAGTCGATCATAATTGCCATTTGACATTCATGCAGTAGTGGCCTTTTAGAAAACAAACTGAAAGACAGTTACAATACCATTTCTCACATCAAGAAGTAGTGACCTTCTATCATGATTTGAGCCACTTGCTTTGTTTGGCAGCTCGAAAGGATTAATTGAAGCCTGCAATCTTTCTCTCCATTCAGCTGGTGTCAACAGGGTAGCCCGCATGGTAGGGTTTAACACAGGAAGGTGAGACATGCCACCTTCAAACTGCAAAAAGTTTAGCAGCATCTTAAGGAAGTTGAGTACATTCCATTAGAAAATACAGAAGATATAAGAAGATAATTGGTGGTGACTAGGTTCCTTTACAATTTTTCAAAAAAATAAAAGAGCTGATAAATGAAGAAGTTTATAGGAAAAGAAGACGGAAAAATAGATAACATAAATAAAAAAACTTAAAAATTAATGCAACAATGTTGAAGGTGAACTTTCTAGGCAACTTACACTGTGGGTTAGCTACGAAGACAATTATTTTCCATTTAGCATCCTTACAACAATTATTTTGCATTTAGCATCCTTAATATTAAAAAATGAGAAAGGTTAAACAGAATGAATATTAAAAAGGGAAAATTTACCTAAGGTCCTATGATTGATCAGCAATTTTTTTTAATCCATCAACTCAAAAAAGGTCCAAATCATGAATTTGTTTTGGATGTGATTATTAAAATAATGAATCAAATCATTGCTGTTCATTTAGTTCAACAGCAAATAATAATAGTAACTAGATGATGCAGGACTACATGCAAAGATCGGAAACTTGCACAAAATAAATTAAGAACAATTTCAGATTTTCGTTATTAGTGATTAGAACAACAATGTAAAACTCATAAATGGTCAATCCCGTTTAGGCCAAGCGACACAAAAGACTAAACCAAATCAAAACACTTAAGAAAATTAAAACATTGCATAAGTAGTAGTTTCCAACATAACCAAACTATAACAATTAGATCTAAGAGCCAAGAAGTAACAAACCTACGATTACTAATGGATGGCGATTGGTAGACACAATCTCTTGCGTGAACAAACTCTCATAAAAGTAAGTAGAATTTGAAAGAAAATGAATCAAGGAAGAAGATCACCTTTCCGGAGAGACGTTGTGAATTACCACGCACCTTTCGTTGGTCCCTTTCAACAAGTACTACGGGAAGAAGAAATCTCTATGGATCCGCCAAGGATTGAAATCACGCCGACGACGGGAAGGGGAGAAGATCCACAACGCCTTGGCCGTCGGATGCAAAATTTGGAAACTTCCACTTTGAATTTTGAAATTCAAAATTAGTGGAGAAAGCAAGAAGGGGGGCCGGTGATTGGTGGAGGGGATGGTGGTGGGAGAAGGGGAGGACGGCGGTTAGGGTTGAGGCCGGCGGGATGATGGGAAGGTGGGGGTTTTGAGGATATGGTGAGGTTGAGCTTGGGCGGGTGCGATTAGGAGGTGGAGGTTAGTGGTGGGGAATGGCCGGAGGTGGATATTGGGGAAAACGAAAAGAAAGAAGGGAGATAAACCAAGAGCCACCGGAGGTGACTGTTGGGCACGACGGGTGGCCTCTCCTAGGCTCCACCAAACTCACAACTCTCTCTCAAGCTCTCACAAAAGCTTCAAGAAGACAAATGCAGGAAAATTTCTTAATATCATTCATTAACCATCAAAAGTACAAGATGAAGGCTATAAATAGCCTAATACAATGACATAAAATAAAAGGGCTCAAATACCCTCAAGGACTACATGACTCAATCCCTCAAGCAAGGGTAAAAAGGGAAAATACAGAAATAAAATACATCAAAATGAAATGACAATACTAAAATCAGAAATACATCAGGTAAATCGTGGCCATAGATCTACGGCCACGTCGACGGTAGACTTTTCAACTTATGTCCCCATCACTAGATTCATTATTTTAATAGCCACATCCCAAATAATAGTAGCAAGATTCATAGTTTGGTATAAAAAGAAATTTTCAATATTATAAGAAAAAACTTTTGGTGGTCAACCAAAGGGCCATATGGTAAACATCCTTAAGAAAATCCATAAACTAAGGCAGTTCAAGCAGAGTATTCCATGTTTTACAGGCTTTTATGATGCTATCAAATTGTAAGACAAATAATAGAGAAAGAACCAGTAAATTATAGCTTGCCTGTACAAGTGAAGGTTTATACCGCATTTTCAATCTTGGAAAAGCATGACCATCTAAAGCTGGTGAAGTTTGAACTAGAATATCAGAAAATCTAGGATCTTCTTTAAGCCAATCCGCATAAGCTAGAGCATCTTCAATCGGACCACTGTACTGCTTACATGATAACTCAATTACTTCTTAAAAAACCAATAAGAACCGAATTCTGAAATGCTAAGAAAACTACAAATTTGAGGAAAGGACGAAAATGATCTATTGACTCTTTATGAAGGATCAATAGTCCCCAACTAGAATAAAAGATCATTTTGGTCCCTCAAGCTTTAGGAAGGAATCAAAATAGTCCGATGGTAGGATTATTTTGGTTCCTCTTTAAGGGGTTGAGGGATCAAAATAGTCCTTTAATATAGTTGAAAACTATTTTGACCCTTCATAAAGAGTCAAAGAACTATTTTGATCCTTTTCTCATACAAAATTAAATGGCCAAAGTTATGTGATTTACAAGAAATGTGTTTTCTGCTGCCAAATTCAAATCATTTCAAAATGGCTGAAATTAAAACGGAGATGGCTTACTTCAGTAAATTCGGTGCATGTTTCAGTGTACCCAGAGGACAAGTGGTCATTTAAAGCAACAAAAATGGAAAATGAAAGTTGTGAATGCTCGCATCATAAAACTTTTCATACAATACAATACCGGGGTTATTTGGTTCAATATAATCTATCAAATGCAGTGTGTTTGGTCCACTGTTATCTTTCTTAAACAATATGATATTAACTAGCAAGATCAATGGTGATTATGATATTTCTTTTTGTGGTATTTTATTTTAGCTGTAAAATAGCCTAACAATTAGATGTCATCAAACTTGGTCAGCAGCTTAATGCTAACAAAAGAGGACATATATGTAATATATAAAATTGCTATTAAAAATGCTAGTTAACCAAATAGCCGACACTTTGTGATAACATAAGAGTTCATTGAAGATGTGAGCAAACCAAATTGCCCTTAACATATTATGATAAAAAAGCAATGCTACATACGAAACAGGTTAGTCAATAAATAACCTGATTTGCCGACCCCGATACAGACCAAACCCGAAAAATTCGGGTTTGGATTGACTTGTTTAATAAAGGGGTCGGTCTTACCCATTTATTAAATGGATCAAGTTCGAGTTGACTCGCGAACTCACTTTTGACCCAAAAATGACATGCTTAATATTTTTTCCCTAAAATTCTTTTGCATATAACTTAAACTCAATGTTGATAAGATATATATAAAAAAATAACTAAAATAGGTAAATGGGTTGTGTTCCGGTAATTTGGGTTATTAGAAGGTCGAGTTCGGGTCCATCTATTTTACTCATTTATTAAACGAGTCAGGTTTGAGTTGATTGGATTTTGTCAGATTTGAGTTTACTTGATTCGGGTCGGATCTAAACCCACCCATCAACCCATTCTGACACATCTAAGATAGAGTCCTTTAACATTAGTTTGTTTCTTCACAAACAAGTGCATGCACACATAAACGCACAAAAGAACAAAAAATGCATAAATACATGCAAAGCAAAAGAGCATTTAATAATCTTCAATCAAGATATTCCCTATATGTTTTCATTGAAACAACAAAAAAAGGAAAGTGAAAGTTGTGAATGATTGCATATTAATAACATATTTTTACACAATATAACATAGGGTTGTGTGGTTTAATGTCATGTTTCTTAAAAAATATAATATAATTTAAAAAGAACGATGGTAATTATAATATTTCTTTTTCTTGTATTTTATTTTAGTTTCCAAATAACTTAACATCTATATATCATCAAATTTGAGTGATATCTAAATGTTAAAAAAATATGAAATAAATGTAATTTACAAAATTTCTCTTTAAAGATGCCAGTGAATCAAATAATTGACATTTTTTTAACATAAAAATATATTGAAGTTATCAGAAAACAGAACTCTAGCCCTTAACAAGCTACGATCAATAATAAATCTTGATACATGTGACATGGGTATCTTTAACAATAACTTGTTTCTTCACAAATATATGAATACACAAATACGTGCATGCAAAATACAAGGAAATTTTATAATTTTCAATTCCAATATCGCCTCTCCCACACATACACATGCACAAATAACAACCAATAACAACAAAAACAATAATAATATAAATAATAATTAAACAAGAGAACAGTGTTTTACTCACCAAATGATATATTTGGTTTTTTGGTGTAAAGCATAACTGCTGAAGAATAATCACCAATGAACTTTTGAATTTCAAGTGTGGTAACTACTTATTTTCTAGAATTAATGCCAAATATATTTTTGGCCCAAAGTAGAAAATACAATGCAGAAAATAATAAAAAAAAATTAAAAACATGTCTAGCATACTAGTTACCTGTGCATTGATGCCTTGCTCATTCACATATATTCGACCATGTATGTCACGCCCCTAGCAAAAGTAGGACAAAGGTAACTTGTATGATAAGCTCAACTTGATGACACAAGATCATAAATTAACATAGAGGAAAATAGTGAAGCCAAAAAAGTTCGAGTTATGGTTTTCACGAAGAGGAAGTTGAATAAAATTCCTTTAGTAGAAGAAGACATGCTTTGCAAAAAAGGGTGAACTATCTTGTTAGAGATTCATGGAGACTTCCAATTGATTTATAATATTGAGCTAACTCTTTGTTTAAGTTTCTTCATCCTTTTCTTTTTTATCACTATTTTTCTATTCTCTTTTTAATTTTTCAGGATTGGATAAAGTTGCCCAAAAACCAGATCTTAATAAATACAAATTTTGTAAGCTCACTACTAATTTATTGGAGGAAATCAAAGAGAAGATTTAGGACATAAGATAAAAGTTTGACTTCAAATTCAAATTTGAATTTGAATAAAGCTAATTATTTGAAGATTAAGTTGGTATTGTGGGGTGTTATTGGAAGATGTGGGTGCCGAAATTTCGCGCCCCGGCCTCTTCGTGGCCCCCTTTCATTTCATTTTGGGTCGTCGAGGAGAGTTTTAACATGTAAGTTCTGAGGCAAATTTTCAGAAGGCAGATTGAGTTTTAAATAAGACATTACCCAGATATTTCACCCTCATTTTGCGAGGACTTTATAATCTAAGTTCGGGTTTCCTATAGACGCAAGCCTTTATAGTTAATTACCCCTCCCGATAGTGAAAGAGAACTTTCAATTAAGGCTAGTCGTCAAATAGATATGTAGTATCCTGTGTATAATAGCAGCATAATTTAGTATTTTAATATTTAAAATTAAAAAATTTACCACATTGCATTTAAAGCAGATGGTGGGGGAGTGATCAAGATCTCTTGGTTTTGTCATCCCGGGTCATCATAATCCCTAGTCTACTTAGTTAGTATAAGTAGTCGACCCAACCTAACCGAAGGAACCTTGTCGACAGTCATGGGTTGCTTTATCCAATGGTACCTTGTAGACATGGGATAAATATTTACCTAAAAGGAGAAATTTGAATCCACCTTAGCTAACAGAGGGCTTTGTGCCCCATCGGTCATATCCTATTGATTCATAACTCAATGATTTAGCACCGTTGGGGAACATACAGGCTTTGAGAGGGAATTGATGGCCATCGACCCATCGCTAAAAAATTTGTACCAATCTTAGCCCTACCAAATTTCACTCAGGTCTTCATAGTAGAGACAGATGCCTTAGGATATGGATTGAGAGTAGTACTCATGCAGAGCCATCGACACATCACCTATTTTAGTCAGCTACTGATAACTAGGTCCAGGCTTAAATCATTCTATCAGAGAGAATTGATGGTCATTGTGTTAGCCATCCAAAAGTGGCAACCCTACTTGTTGGGCAATGTTTCATTGTCAGGATAGACTAGCGGAGCCTGAAGTACTTGTCGGAGCAGAGGATGGTGACCAAGGAGAGATGGCTGTCAAAGCTGCTGGGATATGATTTTTGAAATCCAGTATAGGTCAGGGATGGAGAATAAAGCAGTAGATGCCTTGTCCAGATGTATGGGGAGGTTACAAGCGATAGCAGTGTCGATAGCACTGATTCTGAATTGGGGGGGGGGGGGCCATTAAGGAGGAGAGTGCACAGGATGAGGAGTTGGGAAAGATTATGGTTGATTTATTGGAGGGGAGTAGCCACCCAGGAATTTCTTCAAAAGGTGAGAGGTTCCTATACCAGGGGAGATTTGTGATGCCTAGGACATCAGTCCATATTCCACGTCTGCTCCAAGAGTTTCATTAGAGCATTGTTGGGGGTCATTCAGAGGTGCAAAAGACGTAAAGGATGCTCGCATCAGAATTATATTGGAAGGGGGTGTAAAATGATGTGGAGAAGATAGTAGTCATATTGAAGATCTATTAGAGGAACAAGTACATGGTCATGTCTCCAGGAGGATTACTATAGCCTTTAGCTACCAGGTCGGGTATGGGAGGAGGTATCCATGTATTTTATAGTTGGATTACCCCGATCGAAAGGGTTCAATGTGATTTTGGTGGTAGTGGATAAACTGAGCATGTATGTTCATTTCATTCCCCGGCATCCTTACACAACAGTGATAGTGGCCTCAACTTTTATCAGGGAGGTAGTCAAATTGCACGGGATACCGGAGGCGATAGTATCCTATAGGGATAAGGTATTCCTAAGCCACTTTTGGAGAGAGCTTTTCAGACTACAGAGGATAGTACTGAAGAGGAGCACTGCCTACCACCCACAGACAAATGGGCAAACGATGCATTGTGTCAGAGACACCGCGGCTGTGGGCTAGGTGGTTAGCATTGGTAGAATATTGGTACAATACATTATATTATTCTGCTTCTCAGATGACCCCAAAAGTGTTATACATATGAGATCCACCTCACCTGGTGCATTTTGAGCGTGTAACACCCTAGTTTCTTCAGTGGAGTACTTGGAGGAGAGGGACAGGATGTTGGATTGATGAGGCATCTATTGAGGGTGCAACATATTATGAAGAAACGGGCGGATGGGCAAAGGAAGGATATTCAATTTGAAGGAAAGGATAAGAGTGTTCTTGAAGCTTAGACCTTACAGATAGAGGACAATTACTAACAAGAGAAATGAGAAGATAGATCCAAGATATTTTGGGCCATTTGAGGTACTAGAGAGGATTGGAGCGGTGGCATACCGGTTAAAATTGCCACTGACAACAACCATCCATCCTATTTTTCATGTATCACAATTGAGGAGGGCAATTAGGGATCATGCAACGAGTTCTGAGCTACCAGAGACGTTGGCAGAGGACTTGGAGGTAGTATGAACCCTTAGAGTTGATGGAGGTTTGCCTAATCAAATGAAAGAGCCTACCATACTATGAATCCATGTGGGAACCATATGTGAGAGTGAAGCATCAGTTTCCCTCCTTTCACCTTAAGGACAAGATGATTCTTTGGGAGGAGGTATTATTAGAGTGATCCATCATGGACCGGTCCAGCTGGCCCTTTGCTAAGGGCCGGCCCATGTGTTCAAGAGGCGGAACAAGCAAGGTCCGCCCTCTTGAGTTTTTCACCCAAACATGGGTGGGTCCCACTCATGATTTCAATTAGGAAGGGAAGGGGCGGCTAGGGCTAAGAGGGTAATTTTGCTTAGGAGGTTTAATTGAATGCTTTAAGTAGGAAGAGAAGATTAGAGATAGGGTTATCCAAATTATTGTGGCTGTTTTCGTTCTTGGAGTTTGGTGTATTGGGCTCTAGCAGTGTCTAGGGATTGGGAGAAAGAAATCCTCCTTTCAAATTGAGTATCAATTGTATCTTGGTATTTTTGTTCCGCTATCTTTGATTATTGCAAGAAAAACTACTGTTTTCTGATTTTCTCGTTGAAATCGTGGATCGTTCTCGCTGTTTTTACCAATATTGTTAGGGTTTACTTAAGATCTTCAAGTATTTCGCAACATTTTTCCTTGAATTGGGAAAACACAAGTCATGCCTAGAATTTAGGATTAGCTGCTTGATTTTAGGAATAAGATTTGTCTCCAAGTGTTCTTTTGCATTTATGAGAAGGTTTGATTTGGATCTAGTTATGCTTATCCTTGTATAAATAGGGGATTAGGAGTCTATCTTGTGCTCAATTAGTTTTGGGATTGAATAAATTTGCAATTCCATTCCCTCCCAAAAAAAAAAAAAAATGCCAACCATCCTTCTCTTCTCCCTCAGTTTTTCCGTTCAGCACCAGCAGTTCAAAACCTCTATTCTTCTTTAGCTACCAGTCCTACAGTCCTTATAATGCTAGGTTATCCTCCAACTTCGTCTGTCTTTTTACGATTCAAACTCTTTCCCAAGCCTCTCAGAGTACATTTCATAAGAAGGGACAAAGAATGAAAGTTTCTAACCCTTTCCGATTGATGAAGAAGAGTAAATCACCTGAAGGAATTCTTGATGCTTGAGAACTTCCCCCTCCGGGTTTTCAATTGACACAAACTTATAGAAGGTAACTACACAAAACTCCAGATCTCCATTTCGCCCTGCTCGTCCTATACGAGCAGGAAGGCGAGACGAAGCAACCACAAGTTGACTCGTCACCGAGCAGTACACGAGGCCCCGATTGCTCTTCTTAGAAAATGATGTTGCAATATGGATTCGAGCAGGGCAATACAAAATCCTCAAGGTGAGCGAGGAGACCGAAGAACAGCTGGGAAGAGGAGAAGCTACAGAGGAAGAGATAGCCATTGCGGGACTGGAGCTAGCAGCTATCATCGCCTTTGGTATGTCTCTCCTGCTAGTCTCCTATTTTATCTTCTTTTATTTAAAAGATATATATATTTGAATATTTTACTTAAAGAAAATATTAAAAATATTTGAGGATTAAAAATAAAATGAAATTTATTTCTATTTAAAAAACATAATTTAACATTTAATTGATTGAGCTATCCTAGTTAAATCTTATTTAAACATTAATTAGTTTTTCTTTATACTCACAAATTATTTGGTGATTTTTTGGATTAACCAACATTATAAGTAATTAATATTGATATGCCTTAAAAGTGCAATTGATTAGCACGAATCTTAATGTGATTTTAAATTAAAAATTTTTTGAATTTGATTAAGAACCACCAAAGCTCAAATTTCAATAAACTCAGTCAAACTGAACGTCTCAACTAGGAGTGTCAAAAGGGATTGATGGGTCAGGTTCGAGTTCGACCCGAAATTGACCTGACCTGAATCCACTTAATCCGAATTTGACACATTTAATAAATATGCCAAAAATATCAACCCAAACCTGACCCTTTAGAAACTCGAATAACCCGAACCCGAACCCTGAAAAATTCATTATAACTCATGTTGAATCACGGGGATCAATTGACTCAACTCTGTATAACTCCTAATCAGTCCCCAACTCTTTATGACTCACATCAGTGAATCGATGATTTTTTAGGTTATCATGTGAGGCTTATCAATTCATATATCTAATATTAATCAATATATCATTTCAGCCATATTAATATCAAATTCAAGTAAATATCAGTCATATCAATCATTTCAGGACATGTTACATTTTTGCATTACATATCAAATTATACTACATCACTTTCAACTCATTTTAATATATATTTTCTCTACTCATTTCACATAAACATTCATATACACATTTCTAATCACTTAAAATGCAATAAAATCATATCAAATCATTCATGATGATCAAACCCTTACGAAATAAAGAGATAATGCATTTGTGTCAGATTTAAGAGAGACATTTGTAAAATTAAAACCATTGAAGACAGAACTAAGAGGATAATTGCCTACAATGATCATAATACTTTTTACAACAAAGCGACAAATCAAAAGTCCCCAGGGAGCCTCCTCTTTATTATTTTCTCTCCTCTTAATCCTCTCTTCTCTTCCTCTCCTCTAATTTCTTCATGGGCAAGGCAATGAGTGAGCGAGTGAGGGAGGCGGACGCAAGAATATATATATATATATATATATATATATATTAAATAAGCATTGTTAGTAGCCTAGCACTGCCGCACTCAAACCCAACGCTACAACATTGCATGCAAAATTAGAATTACTATAAAAATAGAGACTCAAACGCCGCAACGGCAAATTTTGGCACCGTTATGATCTCAAACCTAGCACCATTGCGCTCACAAGCATAGCGTTGAAACACTTCACTACATATAGAAATTTAAAATTTTATATTTTAAAATATTTTTCATCTTTGGATTGTTACAAAAAACCACCCATACCTCACTTTAGAAGAATATATGTGCATAATGAAAGCACTTCAAATTTAATGATATGATTCTTAGAGTAGGTCGGACAACAAAGAGCCCATTCACAGCAAGGAATTCTCCCACCACAAAATTAACAATAGTTTATGATTCATCCATTTGATGCCACTCAGGCAATACCTCATTAAGCTGCATCTCTTCCTTCACCACAACCTCATCAAGTTTTCTCTAAAAATTTCAGTTCAAAACATCATTCCCATATTAATCGACCTGCTCGTAATCCTCCACCAATTATGGAGGTCTTACATCAACATCACCTTATTAATGACTCTCGTGATATTATAAGAGATAAGTAATGACGTCTTATTAAGGAGGAATCTCCCTTCGAGGGAAAGAAATCAACTTATTTATCGTTGTAACTTTCAAGAGTCTTTACCTCTATTTAATCTAATTATTCAATAGCATATTCTACTAGGGTTTAAGTTGCATGCAATTAATTCATATAATGGAACTTCTAATAACTATGAGCACATTGACCACTCAAGACTATCATGTACATTCGGTGTGCTTCTGATTCAGTCTTTTTGTAAGGTCTTCCTTGCAACTCTCAATAGTTAAGAGACAAGCATGCATATAGTTCTATTATTTCTCAGGGAGAATTATTCATACATTTGCCAATCTGGCAAAACATTTCATCAAATAAGTCATTTTAAAGTGAAGAATCATCAAGGAATCCTCCTATTTTTTTGGGATTTGCCAAATTGAGGGAGATTCTACAAAAGAATACTTTAAAAGATTTTTTATTTATTTTTTTGAAGCAGTACAAATCCTAAGTAGGCTAGGGGTGTCAATTTCGGGTCACAGGTCAGGTTCGGGTCGAACCCGAAACTGACCCGGCACTATTCAGGTCAACCCGAACCCGACCCGTTTTTAAAAACGGGTCAATTTTCCTGACCCGAACCCGACCCGCTTCGGGTCCGGGTCAACCCGACACGACCCGAATGACCCGTTTCCAACAAAAAATGTCTAATTTTCGGGTCAAAATCGGGTTTTCGGGTCAAAATCGGGTCAATTTCGGGTCAAAGGGTTAACCCGACCTGATTTTTGAAACGAGTCGAAATGTTGAACCCGAACCCGACCCGTTTCGGGTTCGGGTTGACCCTAACCCAAAATTTTAGGGTCGGGTTCGGGTCGTGTCAAATATTGACACCCCTAATCCTAATAATGTATTTGAAGGATTGAGTTGTTTTTCTTGAAGGTCTCCACCCTGGACATTTTTAATCATATACATGAGAGATAGTCCACTCCTATGTTAATCTTATTTATCGAGTAGAAACACAAATAACTGATGACTAGACCTTTAGCACTCACAGAAGCAATTTGAACATTTCTTAAATAAAATTAAGAATTAGCCACAAGAAAATTGATCACCCTTTTTAACACAAAAATTAGTAGTAAAAAAAAAATCAAATACGCTCTTCTCATCAAATGGAGCAAGAGTCATTCATTCTATTAAACACATGCAAGGCTAACATCTTGAGGGAGATCCAAAATTCTAAATGCCTATGGCTAAACCTCTAAAGAATTCAAATAATGGAGACTGGCATCAATATTATAAATTCCATCGTTCAGGAAGACACTCAATTAAAATATATATTTTTAATTGAGGAAAGAAATTGAATATTATAAATTCCTTCGTTCACTAATAATATTTCGATCGTTATTTACAAGAATAAAATATACACCATCAGGTTCAAAATAAAGCAGATTAGAAAAGTCGTGGCAAAATATTTATTGAGGTTATTGAATAAGAGTGAGATCCCTTATATACTAGAAGATTTCATCATTGAAGCTAGAGCTGTCAACATTTGACCCGACCTGAAAATCCGATCCGAAAATTTCGGGTTTGGGTCAACCCGAACCGGGTCAGGTTCAGGTTAGAGATTTCGACCCGTTTATAAAACGGGTCGGGTTCGGGTTGACCCAGCGGGTTTCCGGGTTGACCCGCCAACCCGTTTTAACCTGACCACGCGGACATGACCCGCGCGACCCCGCGCCCTCTCGCGCGACCCCGCGCCCTAGCGCGACCCCGCGCACCGCGCGCGACCTTCCCGGGTCGGGTCAACCCGGCAACCCGCCGAGTCGGGCCCGTGTTCGCATTTCCGACCTGTTTACCTAACCGGGTCGGGTTAGGGTCGACCTGTTTGAACCCTGGTCAGTTCCGGGTTCGACCCGAACCCAACCCTTGACTCGAAATTAACACCCCTAATTGAAGCAACTTGAGGAAGTTGAGCTAATTTCATTAGAATTTTTATGTTGACTTTAATTAGAGATAAAGAAGTATATTTAAGTAAATTTCTCTTTAAATTATTAATGAAGTATTATTTTTATAACTAATAATCTATCTAACAAAAATCCTGAAAGACATTCCCATAAGATAATCTCGATGGAGGCAAGTAATGGATATAATTATCACTATAAAGATCCCATGACGGAAAGTTCCATATAGGGGCTCCACTCATAACCGTTGTAAGACACTCCCATGAGGTAGCCTCGATGGAGAGTTAATAGTGGATAAGATTCTCACTAGAAATATTCTATAAGAGCAAATGGTTCGCAGACTCTACTAATCCAAAAATCTTATAAGGTAAAAAACATTAAATACATGATAATCCAACAATTTCAAAAAGCATACAAGCATACTAAAATCTCAAAAAAGTCTCAAAGACATATAAAACTTAGTTTTCTCATCGGACTGTCTGAAGGCGAATCAGAATGCGTCATGTCATCCAGTACACAACATCAGTACACGGTATAAAAATGAGGTGGCCCGTCTTAACGCGCCTCAGGACAACGTCTGCAAAATAATTTCCGCGCTTGCATGGAGATGAAAAAGTTCACTATTCCAACAAGTTGATTGTGAATTATATTTAAGTTTCTAAATGAAGAAATTTACATTGCAAAGCCACATACAAAATAATTAGATTTATATGATGTCAACACTAAAATAAAAATAAAAAATAACTATACAATGTACAAATATTTCATCTTTAGTCTTCGCAGCACTTTTGCGAACGAACACGGAAATTCTGAAGGGCGGCATCTCTTGCACACAACGTGGATTCGAACAGCCCCTTAACGGCGTCAGACAAACAGTGTAACCCTGCCGTTAACTTCTCGTCCTCTCGTTCCACAACCACCACGGCGTTCCGCATCCGTTCTCCGTCATCCCCATCGCTTACCTCATCGATCGCCTCCCTCAACCTCCCGACGCTCACCTCCACTGCAACCACCTCGCCGGGAAATCCCTCCCCAATCCTCCCCCAAACCGCTGCCCCTACTTCATTAAACGCCGACGACCACATAAACTCGCCGGGCACCACCGCTAATTTTCCTAATCTGATGTCCTCATGACCACCAAACACAGCCGACAAAGGAGCAATCACGAGATACGAAACTGCTTCGACAGCGTAGATCGCTCTACGGGTGGCTGAAATCGAGCCACGAGGTGGGGGATCAGGAATAACCAGATGATGAGAAGAGCGAAGCGGAACGTAGGCTTCCCATTCCGACAACAAATCCTTGGCGCGGCTCACGTTTTTATCGCCGAGAAATGAGAGGTGGCGCAGAGCGAGGAGAAGGAGCAGGCGGCGGCTGAGGACGGTGTCCGTGGCGGCGGAAACGGAGTTGCAGGCATCAAGAAGGCGGATGGTTGAGTTGAGATGGACGGCGATGGAGTATTGGTCGGAGGAGAGGGATTGATCGGAGAATACGGCGGCGGCGTCTGCTAGGGTTTGGGTAAGAAGATCGACGGCGTTGGAGAGCCAGGAGAGGGGAATGGACGTTGAAGATTCGGGGATTGGGAGCAGGGATTTGAGGCGGCGGGAGAGCCGATCTTCGAATGGGAAGCATGAGGGTTTGGTTCTGTTCTTGGCTTTTGGATGGAGAAGGAAAGAAAGGCGAGTTTCTGCTAACGCCATTGAAGAAGTGAAGGATTACTTTCCGACCTATACGTTTGTACATAAATACTTTAAATAGGAAGCTGAAAACGTGGCTGCGGTGCATCTGCCGAATGGAGCTTTTTAGATGAGCTTCTAAAATTAATATATTATTATTATTATTATTTTTTTTTTTTTTGGGACAGGGAGTATCAGCCTTCGGCCACTAATCTCCCCGGTCGACCTAGCGGACTACCCACACCAATTCGCCCGGGCCAACATTTAAAAAA